AATTATTTTTAAAACAGATTCGGCTTTAAAAAGCAGAACTTAAGAGTTCATCAAAGGACTTGTTCATTAATAAAATAGCTCTCATCATCATAATCCATCCTCTTGAACCGCATTAAGCAGTGTGAGGAGGAAGTTTATAGAGCCTTCTCCAGCTCAGCCGGTCTTCCACAAGACACCTTCTATCATTCCATTAAAGACTTCTTCTCTGAAAGTCGCTCTTCACCTCACCTTCCCATTTTCTTCTAGGCCATCCTCTTCCTCTCATGCCCTCTACTTTAGCTTGATAGGTTTCGCTAGATATTCTGTTTGGTTCCATCCGCAGAAGATGTCCTAGTCTTCTCAGTCGATTCTCTTAAAATAGCTCTACAGCATACAAATTCTCTGAAAAATAAACATAAAACTGTAAAATAACAACGTGCCCAACAAGATCTTGCATTTGATAATTCATGGAAACAACAAATAAAAAATGTATCACCATTCCATTAAAAATCCTAAGCCTCTTAGAAATCTCCCTTACCTTTTTTTTTTTTTTCGATTACACACAGCCTCGCCACTTCTGGCATACAGGGAAAAGGAAGGGAAAAAACAGATTGCTAAAAACCAACTGAACAGAAATCTTCTAATTCATTACCAACCAAAAAAATAATTACATTTTAATTTATTTATTATTAATAACGATATTGTTTACAACTTAGTTGTTTGTCATTTCTAAAAACTCTTGCCACTTCTTTCAGTCTAGCCATTTACCTTCACAAAGACAGCCATGCCTTCCTCCACAATCTGCAATCATCTCTTCCTAAGTCATCGTCTTTTTTGCCATTTTATAGGTTGATATAGAAAGATTTAATTTAGCCATCCCTCCTCTTATATTCTTTGTAAATGGTCATACCATTTCAATCTTTTTGTTACTAGAACATAGTTTTTTTCTGTATTGTTCCTTTGTTTTATATGCCTGAGAAATTAGATTTTTGGATTAAAAGAAACTTATATGGTTAATAATAACTTCATTCAAATACACAACTTCTTTTTAAAGATAAGAGTGATTTTTTAATACAGCCTTTTTTGTTTGAAACCTTACCAATTACATCCTATGGTATGTAAATATCAGGATTTGACGAAATATTCTCAAAATAATTTTAGGAGCATCCATCATACAAGTATCCTATTCCACTATTTGTCTTCAATAAATTATTACTTTTTCAGAACAAAATGATGTTGTTGTTTTTGTTATTTCTGTTAAATTAATTATATTTACTACATAACATTACATACCTTAAGTTATATCTTTAGTTCAACAAAAGTTATTTCAATTATAAGAAATCCGGTTTGCATAGAGCCACAAATGCTTATTTTCAAGTTTTTTTGGAAACATTTATAGGCAGTCAAAGAACAGTCTGTGATATAAATATAGCTTTAGTAAATTATAACTGATCTAAAGCAACTATTGCAGTTTATGTATTTATACAACCTTTTTTCAATGTGATGGTCTTTTGAATGACTAGTGAGATAACTTCTTTCTCTATAGACAGATAACAGATAATCATCTCTTAGATCAAATTATTTTCATTATTAAATATAGAAAATGTTTTTGAATACATATGAAATGTGAGAGAATAAACCATTCATATATTTTTCCATATTTATTTATGTGATGTTTAAGTTACTATTGCAAAAATAATTTTAAAATATTATCTTGACTTTTAAATTAATTCATGAAAATTTTTTAAAAAACAAATAAAAATAATTTAAAATGTGAGTAGTTAAAAAAAAAAATGTTGAAATTGGAAAATTAAACATGCAACAAGAAAACAGATTTTTTAATGTAAACGGCAGTGGCTTTGACATACATTTGAGAAACATCGATACAGAGGTTTAAGTGACTTGGCCATATGATAAGGATGAGCAAGGAAAGAGTGACTCATAAATTGTACAATAATGCAGGGGTGCCCAGTAGGGGGTTTTATAGCGCAAGTTACGCAATCGAAATTTTTGAGGGGGCATATTTTGACGGGTTTTTTAATTTTTGATGGGACAAATTTAGATGTGGTTATGAATTTTCAGACTAAGAGACAAGGGGTAACCAAGGAACAGACCGCATCAAATGTAATTGTATATGATCAATGATTTTTCTAATTCTACCTTAGCTTACTCTGTTATTAAGGAAAGGTGAACAGCAAAATATCTTGGGAGGAGGAGGAGGTAGCTTTCCATCGACCTTGGGGGGGATGGGCACTCCTGCATTAATGTTCCAGATGGTGTGCACCGTCTTGGTAGGCAGAAGGGCCGACGGAGGGATGCTGTGGGGCAGAATCCGGGACAACTAAAGATTTCTATTATTAACACCCATCGAAATAAATGTGTCCCACACATCGAAATTCACAATAACAAACAAATAAACTGCAAAAATGACAACTATTTAAAGAACACACTAGCAGTAAATTTCATCTAAAAATCTTCAAAATATCAGTATTTGGTAAGTAATGATGCCACTAAATGCTATATTTTTCATTTGTCTATTATATGGACAACAAAAAACTTCAAGCAGAACCAAATTTATGGATTTCTATGGACTTATAAAAAAATTGCGATTAATATTCAAAATAAAATTAATGTAAATTATTATACCACTGCTAGGAGTGGTCAGTGAAAACCCAAAAGAATAAGCGAGTTCGATGCTACAAGTATCTTGTTTTTATATGCATAAATCATTATAGGTACTATGAATTTCTTTCATAGTTTCATTCTTATAAATATTAGATCATATATATATATATATATATATATATATATATATATATATATATATACATATATTATATACTATATAGTTTATTATATAATTATATATTATAATTAGTGTATAATATATATGTTTTTTCATTCGCATTTTCTAAAATTTCATTTTTATAGCTATCATTTGTCATGGACTTCATGACATATCAACTAAACAGATGTCTTGTATCCTTAAAATCTGAAAAGCAAAATTACATAAAATACTTATTCATTAAGCTAATCTGGTTGCAAAGAAGCACTAGAATCAGGAACAAGAATTTTAAGAGATTCTAAAAATTAGTTTTGATGTAGATTTCCAAAAAAGAAGTTGCATATGCAATTTATTACTAGGAAACCGTCAGACAAAATGTTTAGATTGTGTAAATAGTGTTAAACTTTTATGAGGAAAAGGCTAGTGTTGTTCAGAGTTGAGGGAATTATTTTAGGAAATTAGGATTGATATAAGATTGCCACAGAACGAAGGTGAACATGACACCAGAGATTGAATTCATGAATAAAATAGTATAGGTGCCTGTCAGATTACATTATGGAACTTTACCCAGTAAATCAATAGTTTTCTAGAATACAAATAACTTCAACAAACAAATTTTAAAAAAGTGTTGTCATAAATTATTTAATTTATATTTCTAGTCTATAGTGTTACAGTTCTTTGAATAAACAAACTAATGATTCCTTGAGCTCCAGTTGTGGTGTCCTGGAAACTGCTGAAGCAGTGATAAGCAACTGATCTGCATTTGAAGCAAGCTAAACGCTGAGTGCCAAGCTAAAGAGGAGTACCAGAATCTATGTTCATAACAGAGAATTACCTCAACTCCTCTCTGCAAATATCTACTCATACTGTGAATCCTTGGTGTATGGGTTGAAGAAAATAGTAGCCACAGCCGATTTCAATGTGGGAGGGAATAAGAGGCAGGAGAGAGAAAATTCGGCAATATCATTCCAGAGTGACTCCTGGATAGGAATATGAGAGAAACAATTTCATTGTTTTTATACAATAAATCAGAATATCCTGGAAAGACAAATGACCGAGAAATTAATAAATATCCCTTTGAATAATATCACTAAATTAAGAGATAATAAATATAATTAACTTTTCAACTAAATAATATTAATAAAACAAAGTGATTAGCTATTATTTTTGATCATATCTTTTTGTCTGTGTTGTGAGTGCGTTCTAATTTTCTGGTGTTAAAACTTCAAATAATATATATATATATATATATATATATATATATATATATATATATATATATATATATATTTTTTTTTTTTTTTAGCACTATAGATTTTAGAAATTATCTTGTATCGGTTTCACCAAAATATGTATGTATAATATATTGTATGATTATAGTTGTATGTATTGTTAGATTGTAGTATTTATATTGTTTGTATGTGAAAAGGAATTTGTATATAATTTGTATGTACAAAAAAAAAAAGGATTGATAAGTATGCTGTGTGTCGAGCAACTCTATGTAGTAGGCCAGCACTGCTTTCAATAAAGTATTTCTCTCTCAAAATCTTTATCTTTTTCTTCACAAATGAACATTAATTTATTATAAAAATAGGTTCTTATCTTCAAAACTGGGAAACGGTATAAGTATAATTAGTAAATAAAATTGTATGATGGTAATGTCAAGTTCATATTCAAAGATTGAGATCTTTGACACACTTTCTATTTCTTTTAGAAAAAAGTATAAATTATAATCAACGAGGTGATTTTCTGTACAAATCATTAAGATGAATGAAGGAGTAGGTGCTCCGAACCCCTCCCCCCTCCCTTCTTAGATTTATATTTCGGAAATTAAATGTTTAATTCATTTTAAAAAGTATACTGTTCTTAAATGAGATTGTTAAAAATTTATCAGAATTATAAATACGTTTTTTCTACCCATGCAGGATATTAATGAAACGTTTGTTTATTTCTATTATCAGTAAATATTAGGAAAATTAGAAACAGTGAAAATCTACAATTTTTCATTCACTGAAATATTTTACTTGAACATTATTCAAGTAAAATATGATACGATTCTGATAGAATCGTATTAGAAGGTTGATATGATAGTAATTCCAAAGTTCTGATTTTAGGATTAACAATTTACATAACTTTTGAACTAAATCAAATTCTAATTCATCGATTTGAAATTATATATAATTTTTCCTAAATAATTCAAATTCAACTGGGGTGTGAAATAATATTATTCATTAGTGATTTATTTTAGAATTTCTACCGTTCATTTTTAAACAGTTTTTGGACTAGAATGTATATTTAGGTTTTTAAATAATTTTCGAAGGCTTAAGTCGGATAATACTTGAAAAAAAAAATTGTTTTTTCTAACTATTTGCAAAGTCATACAATACTGTGCCTGTGGTAGTACTGAAGGTTATACGTACAGCTGTAGTCATTAAGCTGGTATATCGAGTTGTTTATATCTTTGCCGGTAATTGAGTGCTTAATTCTTTTGTTTTAAAAGAGTTACTCATTTTTTGTGTCTGTTTACCGCAAATGGAATAGTTCCGTGAATATTTTCTTCAGTTCATGGTTATTTATTATCTTTTTGTTAATCTCATCTTAACCTGAGTTTTGTATACAATGATGACTGGCACATGTTATGATATATTTGTTGTATAAACTGTACCCCCATGTTCTACTGTAAAATAATTTAATTTCAGACTTGAATAACCTGTATATCATTTTGCAATCTGGAACCCTGATAATTGTCCTCAATGGCTGACAAAAATAAGTCCATAGAAGATTTTGTGAAGTTTACTTGTTCAACTGAAACAGAGGCCAGGTCATATTTAGAAAATGCTGGCTGGAATACAGAAATGGCTCTTTTGATGTACTTTGATGATCGTGATGAAAGAATGGATGCAACAACGGACCGCAGTTGCCAAAATAGTGCAGCTCCAGCTGCTGAAAATATTGCTGATAGTGACAATGATGAGCCTACAGAGGCCGAAGCCCCAGAACCATTTACATTTGCTGCAACACCTGAAAGGTCATCTACTGGTAGGCAAGGTCCCGTGCGGGTTAATAGATCGAATATAAGAACATTCTCATCATTGAGATCTAATAATGATGATGATGAAGATGAAGATCAACTGTATTATGCTGGTGGTTCCCAGAGCAGTGGACAGCAGATAATGGGAAATGATAGGAGAGGAGATGTTGCCGGCGAAGTTTTCAAACATTTGAAACAAATGGTCAGTGTAGGTGACATAGAATTAGCTGGTCCTTCTAAAGAATCTGGGAAATCTAAATTTGCTGGTCCTGGTTATCGTTTAGGTCAAACTCCTGATGACACTAAGGTTATTGGTGGTTCATCTTCACAAGGTTCTGATGAACGACCTGAAATCCATCTGCGTTTGTGGAGGAATGGTTTTACTGTTGGTGATGAACCTTTGAGACCATACTCGAACCCCGAAAACAGAGAAGCGATTGATATGCTTCTGAGGGGTGAAGTGCCTGTCAGTCTGATTCCTCCTGGGACTACAGATGGTAAAGTTAATGTACAAGTTGAAGACCTTCGCCATGAAAATTATTCAGGATCATCCTCAAGAGGAAAATATTTCACAGGCCAAGGCCATGTGTTAGGAAATGTTGTGCCTGATGTTGTTACCAATGAAGGTCCTGCAGCTCCTGCTGCAACTGAAAACTCACAATCAAGTGAACCTCCTCCATCATCACCCCTCCAGGTGAATGAAACTGAACCAGTCACAACAGTTGTTATCAGACTTCCTAATGGTGCAAGGTCTCAAGTACGCCTTAATGTATCTCATACAGTTGAAGATTTGCGAGGGCACTTGACAACTGTTCACAGAGAACTTAATGGTCAGATATTTGCTTTCATGGTTAATTTCCCTCCTAAGGAAGTTACTGATGAAAAGTTGTCTGTGAAAGATGCAGGTTTGATGAATTCTTCTGTTTATTTGAGAGTAAAAAAATAATTATTTAAATTTTACAAAAGCTATTTCTCAATTTTCATTTTTATTTCTGAAATGGTTTAGTACCATATTAAATGTGATTATTTATTTCTATCATAAAATGATCATTCAAGTAATACACAGTTGTTATAATTGTGTTTTAATATTGAACACATTTATTTATGCCAAGGCCTAATTGTGTATTACTTTTATTTTACTGTTGTTGAATGTGATATATAGACATAGTTAGAAATTCATTCTAATGAACAGTGAATTAAACACCTGTAATTCTAAAAGAACTGCTAATCATTTTAGAATCATTGTTTTACATATACTTTTTAAAAAATGTTAAATCTTGATATTTTCGGTTACTTTATATAATTTGGCATTTGATTATAATGATGACACTGTATGTTGTAAACCTTTTTAGTATCAGCAAAGGCCAAGGAGAAATTCTTGATAACAGTAACAAGAAATCTATATGAATTTCTTAAACAGTCGTATTAATAGTTTGTAATATTAATCTTTCTGAAAAAAAGAAAACCTTTGCACATTTGAATAGTTTCCATTCATTATCTTGCAATATTTGTTATTATTTCTGTAAGCTTTGTATATTTTGATTGTGCATTAGTTCTTTTTTTTTAATTTAATTTATTTTTTTATTCCCTCAGTTAAGATCAGTATAATAACAGTATTTGAATAATAGAGTTCATGTAATGATCAGAAACTGAAGTTGCATTTTATTTTATCCGGTTGCTTACTTTTTGATGTGCTTATATTTACTCAGATTCAATAAAAAAATATTTTGAAAATCTTAAATGTTTTTATATTATTTTTTCCACCTCCAATTATGGATGTTTAGTTTCAATGATTTTTTTTTTTATTGAAAATTTTCAGCATCACATTCTATCTGTTTAAGCTAAGTAATTTTTAGAGTTATTGTAGTTTTATCACTTATATACTATAATAGTCATATCATGTGTGATAGTCTTATAAAATTCTATTGTTTTACTTTTTAAATGGTAATGTCTTATGATAGCAGAGTAAGATATTAAGTTTGAAGAGTGGGACGGTTGAGGTGATCAGTCAAAGTTAGATATTAAGTTTTGTAATGTAAGTTATAAATGTTCTTTATGTCTTGTTTATTTTTGGTTAAAGGCACAAAACCTTTAAGTCATCAATCTTTCTGTCCTTTTTTAAAATGAAATGTCTGTAATTGTTTTCATAAAACAGGTAAAAGTTTTATTAATTATGTTAATATGGATTTTGCCTTTTAAATAAAGTAAAAACAAAAAAAAAAAAAACTTCCAAGCAATATACAAGTATCACTATAAAGATGAAAATACTAAAGTATAGTATCTAGTAACTAGGCAGTTAAGTTTTACTTTAAAAAAGTAGAGTTTGTCTTTAGTAAAACAATTTTATGAGTACTTCAACAGCTAAACTACACTAAAGCTTTTTCTTTAAAATCACCTGACCGTCAGTGCCACTTTATATCAACGCTTAGAAAATTTACAATTTTCTCAAAAACGGCTCTAACGATTTTGATGAAACAGCTCGGTGTACCATTGTATAATTAAGTGGTATTTAATATAATTTAGGTCTTATCCCTGTTGATGTCACATTACAGGGCTTAAATGCCCAATGTTCATATACGTCTTCTTCTTAAGTTTCTTTAATATGGTTAATTTTTAATAATTAACTATCTCTCATTATTAAGATTTACGAAAAAAATGCTAAATATAACTTTTGAATGAATTTGATAATTGAATAAAGGAGAAAAAAATAAAAATGCTTATCCAGGTTGAAAATGAATCTCCGGAAGTACTAGTCATATGTATAATATATTATTGGAAAGCGGAGAATTTCAGAAAAAAATTAAATCTAATATAGAAAGTTGTAAGAAGGTAACAGAGGGTGGCAAAAAAATTATAAATAATAATTTTGAAAACGTAATATTATTTAACATTAATCACATGTTTTGAAGGAAATTAAATTAAATTTACTAACTAAATATTTGTAAACTAAATAAAAATGTAAAGTTTTAAAAAAATTTTAAGTTTGAAAAAGTATTTAAAATCCAGGGAATACCATTGTTTAAAAAACTATTTCGCTGTATTTGTATGAAAGAATAAGTGAAATATCAAATCATTTCATGGATATGTTAAGCATATGTTTATAACCTTAAATATATTTAATTTAGTTTAATAATTATAGATCTGATATTATAGTTAAATAATTAGGTATCAATATCTGTTTATTCCGAAAAATCGTCAAGTAACATTTGAGAAAATTAAATAAGTGAATAACTTGATGAATTTTCCTTTTGTGAAATCCCAATAGTATCCATTTCCAATTAGTGTGACAACTTTTAGATAAATTAGTGTGACCTACCTATGACAGACAATGCAAATCTATTAATTCCATTTTAGTAAACTTTGCAATAGAAAATAATAGTTTAATAACTAATAGTCCTACAATTCATAATCAACAGATCATAAAATCTATAATCGAACGGATCCTACAACCCATAATCAACCGGTGCTATAATAAATAGGACTTTTGTTATTTTAATGGTATTTATGATTTGTTAGCAGTAATATTTTAGCTTTAGCTCAGTTAAAAATGCAATTTATAATAGCCTAGCATGGCCCGAAAATAATTTCTATTCAAACTTGAGTAAGTGAAAGTTGAGTGCACCAGATTTTTTAATTTGCAATTGTTTCTTCAAAGTTGCTTGCGAATGCTGAGTTCATGATCAAAATGTTGTCATTGCCAATTTAAGATTATTGCTATTATTTTTTATTCCTAAAAAAAAATTAATACACCAATTTATTTTCATGAAATGCAAATATTAGAAATAAAATTAGAAGTTAAAAGAACATTTATGGTAGTTGGTCAATTAAACCATAAGTATCAATTTCAACAATTGAGGTCTTTGTAAAAAGCTCAGATACATTATGACTTGATAATTTTATTTTATTTATGAGTGATAATTTTTATTTTATATAGTTACAATTTAAGGTGCCACGTACAACAGCAAAGATTAGAGGTACCGTGTTTCTGTTACATAATTTAAATCAATTTATACAGTTTGTTATCCTTCAAAAATTACACTAAGTTCTTAATTTTCTGGTTTTCATGTTCTCAAGCTTGATGGTAGCTTAGCGAAATTCTCTAAGAACACAAATTTTCCATAATGTGCTCGATGGTCAAGGGTGTATTACAGCTATTGTATTTTTAATAAAACAATCGTGAAGTGAAAAAAACAAACAATATAATAAAATTGTTTAGATGCTGAAAAATTCCTTTAGAAAGGTTTTATCACTGACAAATCGTACTAGCTACTATTTAATACGATCCTACAACTATTTTGAAGAAAATCTCTTCTAGTTTGCGATTCTGTAATTGATTGTTATTCCGTTGGTATTTACATAAATTAATTAGATTTTTTAATTATTCCTTTTTATTAAACAAAAATATAATGCTTAAAAAATCATAACATGATGTCCTGGTTTTATATTTGGAATCAGGCCATGATCTGCATAAACCTTTTTTTTTTGCTGTCGAGATCTACTATTAACTCTTTAAATATTTCTCAATATTTACGTATACCCTTTATATTGTAAACTATTCATATCCATTGTATCTTAATGAAATTTATTTAGGACTACTTGGGAAGTACACTCTTTTGGTTATGAAAATAATAACAGAGATTGGTTCAGTAATGGCAAAGTTATGGGTAAACCTTTGTTTTTAAGATGTTCTAGTATGACAGTTTTCTCTATATTCTTAAAACGTGCTAAGCTACCTATTATCACACTAGACAACTTTCTTTTCAACTATCTTTCTAATCTCGCTATATCATTTTGAATGGGGAAAGGGGCATAATTTATGGGATTTCTTTGATATAGGGCTCCATTAATATTGAGTTTAAGATTGCGCAATTCTGTATTGTTTCATTTTACTTTTTGGATTCATACATTATAAGAATTAATTATTATGTTATGAGAGGCTCAGTTTTTGACAATTGTATCAAATTATTTAAGTTTCATGAATTTCTTCAATGTAAGGGCCAGTTGAAATTTATGTTGTCAGAGGTCTAATTTTTTTTCAGATTCATTTCAATAAAGTTGACCATTACTATTCAGATTGAATGTTTTAAGATAAAATAGATCAATACAAGATTTTGAAATCTTAAAATTGATATTATTCTCGATAACTAATCTCCTTGTAACTTAGTAATAGAGCCTTATTTTGAATTAAAAAAAAAAATAATAAAAGTAATTTAAATTTACTGAAGGTGTCTTCAAGGATATATAAGTCCAATTTTGAAATATTTTTGTTTTTGTAGGGAATTTTGTAACCTTTTAATTATTCATGGACGTTTGAATCTTTTTTTATTTTTTTAGAATTGACAAGCATTATACAAAATGTTAGGAACAGGTCTATAAAAATAAAAATCACCATTTTTTTATTTTTGTATACCAGAAATAAATTATAGTAGAATAATGTAATGGAAAGATTTTGGTAAGTTCTCGCAGTAGTATTGGCATCATATTTTGAATTGTCATTAGATAATTAATGATTATTATTAATAATGTTTTTTATTTTACTATTTATAGATAAAGTTATAGAATGAGTGAACTGCTCGAAAATTTGTTAAAAATTTAATAAATAGTAAAATTATAGGGGCATATATATCCTTGGAGACACCAATTTTAAGTGCATTAGGTGTCCTTGAAAATCCTTATGCTAAAGTAAATTAAATTAATAACAATTCCGCAATCTTAAAATCAATATTTTCAATACTACGGTTCCAAAATCATAATTTTATGAAATATGAAAAATTAATAAGAGGTATTTCTCCTTCCTGTTTCTTGATATAGTTGGATTATTTTAGGATTAGTTGGATGAAGTTGAAAGTTGAGAAGAATTTTTACCAGCATTTGGGACATAGTCTAAGTCTAAAAAGTTTTCTCTTATCATTTTCTGACAGTTAATCAGCTAGGTATGATTTTATTGTTTTGTTACAGATATCATTGCTTAAATTTTTACATTCAATTTACTTGAGTAATAACATGTATGAAATTTAATTCTAAATGTATGCTTTATAGTCACAGACCAGGAATTAGAGGAATAGCTTAATATTTGTATACAACTGGATTGATATACTTTCAATTTTATAGGAATAGGGTTTTCCTTTTATTCAGGAAGTTTATATTTTCAGCATGAAAAATTGATCCATGAGTTAACTCTCTCCTTTATCTCTTTTTCTATTTTTCTGTTCCTCTTTTAAGTGGGTCCACTACATAATTAATTCGTTGATAAAATCAAATATAGTGAAACTTTTCTCAGGCATTCACATATTCAACAGATTTATGCATTGCAGATTGATGTCGGAAGGAGTGGGTACAAGTTATTTTTAAAAATTAGTAGATACATAAATACAAACATCAAAACAAGTTTATTAACAAAATAGAATTCAAGTTCTATTTATATGCACATTATTATTAAAAATTAATATTTATATTTAAAAAACAAAACAAACCTTGTGAACTGCTGAAATGTATAAATTTATTTATAAAATAAGATTTTCCAAGATACAAATTTATATTTAAAATCATCGATTAGAATAAATAAATATAGACTTTATATTATATAAATATTAAAAACCTAAGTCATAAAAATTTAAGCGGGTATTTCAAACAGCTTAAGGATGATATGGACCAGGTGGGGCTAAGAGACCAAGCTTGTTTGGACAGAGATGAGTATAGGAAGGCTCTCAAGGGAATAACAGTTCTTGTGGGAAAGAAGTGGTCTAAGGGGAGAAAACGTAAGCATGCTCATGAGGGGAATAAGGGAGAAGAGGAGGCAGATGAAGAGTAAGCATTGAAATTGTGATATTCATGTGTTCTTTAAGTCCTGTTCATGAAAAAAAAATATATATATATATACATAAATATTAATAGAAACAAAGGAGTGGTTTATCTTATTAACTGCAAAAACCTAATGTTAATATTATATTATAAAATGGGTAATATTATGGATTAACAAATTAGTTTATTCAGCATAGAATATATCAACACTGATGATTGTAAGAAAAAATAGACAGATAAGCATAAGTTTATTTTTTCCTGTTTACTTCGGCTTTTAATTCATGAGTCTTCTTCAGCAGCTTGACACTGTTACAGGTGATAGTAGTGATCCTTTGGTTCTCTCTTTTTCGAGATATCAAGGAAGCATGTGGTTTACTAACCGGACGCGATCACATTTCACTCCATCTTCATCAGAAACTTTCCTGAAGGATTGTTGACAATCTTTTGCTTCAATCTTCCACCCTGTTTTTTTATGGGATAGAGGTATAGCCCTATATCCAATACCCAACCTGGAGGAAGGAGCTATGGTAAAGACACATGAGTCACTCACCTTCTATCAATCTCATGGTGTGGAGGTTACCATCTCCATACGGGAATCGAACCCGTGCGAGATGTCCTAAATAGTCGAGTAGGATCTGCACTTATTAATCTTTCAATTTATTATTAATTATATTATCAATTATAAAATAACAAGTAAAAGTGAAAAATGACAAAACATGTTATAGACAGCTCTGATGTAGTGCAGCAATGAATTAAAACTTTTGTTGATTGTATAATTTCAAAAGAAAAAGATTATTCTTGTTCCTATTAGCTACAACTGTAATTAGTTTCCAAATAAAAAAATCTGGAGCATGCATCACGCAACTTTCACCTTTTATTCTACTCTGGATAGAGATTATTTTCTATCAAATTATGTTTTAGACTGTTTTATATGTTCTTATAAGATCAGGATTTGTTTTCCATTGGCAGTCTCTATTATATTTTGCAACTTTATTTGCAGAATAGCTTTTGGATGCCATGCACCATATTCATCTCTTTTTCTATTTTTGTCTATTTAAAATCATAAAAGATTAAAACAAGAACACTGTTCTAAGCTTTTATGATTTTAAATTGAGAAAATATGGTCCACGGACACCGAAAGCCACTCTTCAAATAAAGTTGTAAAATATAATGGAGACTGTCAATGATAAAAAAAATCCTGATCTTATGGAGCTATGCTTTTAAGAACACATTTCTGAATTTAGGTCATTATCATCAAAGTAAAAATTTGTTAAGACGATCTAAATATCTGTACTCCGGAGGTAAATAACACTATGTCCGTTTTTCTATTTATTCAGAGGTTAACCTTTGAGCTATTAAAATTTGTTTCTTAATAAAATAGTGTTTAGATTTGGTAAAATATAATTTTTTTTTTTTGCCAAGCTTAAAATAAATTTTAAAATTTTCTATAGAAATTCCATTTAATTTCCATGGAAACATTTATTTCTGATTCACTAATATATAAGTCAAAATAATGACTATAGAAATTATTCATCATAGATATTTTTTCTAAAATCGTTTTTTCAACAGCCTAATTTTGCCAAAAAATAATTTCTACTCAAAGTAGAGTGGTAAGTGGATGTTGTGTGGTGCTGTAATCGATAACATTTTTGATTTAGTTTGCTGAATATGCCTGAATTCAAGTAGAATAGCATAATTAAAAATCAGGTTTTCTAATAAAATAGTACTTGCAGGCATTTGTAGCATGGTTGCCAATATTCTTTATGGTTATAAATTTAATATTTAGGTTGGAATTATTTTTTCGATAATATAATTAGAACATTAAACTGTGCCTGTCGATGAAGTTCGAACATTGTATGTACTATGTCCTTAGTGTAGTTCCAGTCAGATGTATACCAATGAGCTTCTTAACAATTATTATATTTATTTCTTATAAAAGAAATTGGTAATTATTTAGATAAGAACCACGTGGGTTATGTGTGATTTACAATCACATTAGCCACACTTGTTCATTAAACGCTGAAAACAGTTTTGGTAAAAGCACCAATAGCTGACAGTGTACCATACTTGATACTCTCCTGAAAAATGGGAATAATAAAATTTTAGGACCTCCTAGATCTTTATCTAATATATTTTTAGTTTGTTATTTTCTCCTTGTATTTTTGTCAGCTTTGCTTTAGTCTGGCCAGAAATTGCAACTGAATTAATGAGTGGTAAAGTAGGAAGGTTCCTCACCCTCCACTTAGTGTCCCAGGAAAAACTACCTGCCAGTAACAGAATCATACCTTAGGTTTGCCTTTTTTTCTTTAACTCAGATTTATCCCAAAATTTTTGTTTGATTGTTTTTGGAGTGTTCTTAAATTATATTTTGTCTGACTTTAACTTATTTGTATAAGGTAATTGGATAATTAATAGTTGTCAGCTACTGGAGCCTTATAATGGGGAATTTAGCCAGTAGTTGACAGGCCCATACTCTCATAAATTCAAAGAGATATACTCAATATGGGTCTTAAAAATGGGACCATTCACTACTGTCTACTTAAGAAAAATTGCTAATGACTTGAATTAAATATAAAGCAAAAATAGGTTTTCCAATTGCCAAAAACAGATGTCTGACAGTGACCAGCATTTATTGATAAATTTAATTCGGAAAACGCTAGAAGTTAGTTTTATAATAAGTTAAAGGTAATTTTTGTTAATCTTAAAATGAAGAATATGAAATTTCCCCCAGTTACGTTCTTTTCCTCATCTCTATCAGTTATAGGAGCATTTCAAAACAAACAGTGTCAGCTACTGGTACAACAAAATTATTCTCTTAATTTTCAATTTTTTAAAATTTAGATAAATTTTTCATGGATTTGAAATATGTATTGTAAGGTGAGAAATAGTTCTATAAGATGAATCCATGAGAAATATAGTAACATAAACTTATATGTGTTTACACGTAAAAGTTCAAAGAAATTTTCTTAAGCATTTACCCTTCAGATAAACTGGAATGCATTCAGTACTCCATGAACAAGTGTGACCGAAGTGATTGTGAACCACGCGTAACTCGTGCGTTTCTCATCTAAATAATTACCAAGAAATTATTATATCAAATGTATTACTTTTTTACGTAATGCGTTAGCAAAAACATTTTTATTAATATATTATGTAATACATATAACGTATTTTCGTATGCTGTCTGAAAAACGGACTGGCACTTAGCAATTTCCAAGATACTGATATGAATTTTAAATACTGCCAGTCAAAGTAATCTATTCTTAATTTACTCACTCATTTTATTCTGCATAATTATAAATTAAAATTTATGCGATGAAATTATTTTATTTTCATATAAAAATACTACTTTGAACTTTAGACTCTACCTGTCTGTGCCTGTTCGGGCATTTTACTTCAGTTTCAGTGTAGCCCCAGCTATGTAACGATGTACTTCGCAACAATTATTAATATTACAAAATAAGTTGGTTACATCATCTAATGATTTGCGATTTTCAACTCACTGAGAAAAGAATAAAGAAGTTTCTTTGCTATTTACAATAAGGTACTGTTGTTATTTTAAAATAAATAACACTGTCTGTAAAATGGGGATACTTTACAAATTAATAATATTAAAGTTTCAGTTATATTAAACAAGAAAATTACTGCTCTTAATGTTGTAATTTAATAATGATGTAGAGATGGTTGACGTTGATATATGTAATATGAGAAGAAATTGGTCGGGGGGGTGGCCGCACCTCCCGACCAATTCCTTCTTGTTGTAATTTAATGGATTGCATAATATTATAATATGATAATATTATAATTTAGTAAATTATAATATTATTAATTTATACTTGAATTACTTGTTCAAGACTAAATTTGCATCTATTATTTTGTATCTTGGTATTTATTTATTGAATAATATTACAATTTGCTATTTTCAATAGCAGGGTTTTTATCAATAATACAACTATTAAAAAAAAATGGCGTATTGCCAAAACATTATCTAAGTAAAGAACCACCAAATTTTGTTTTAATGTTTTGACAAAGAGTTTGAGATAAGAGGGATTAGACCATTTGAATTTCTCACCACTTCTAAATAAATTAATGAAAAGAATCTAAAAAGTGAGGGAAGAAATATAAATTAAAAAATAAGTAAATAAAATGATTTGTTGCGTCTATATTTTGCTAAAATCAATATTTAAAAAAAAATAATTATTTATAATTTCGTTAATACGGGATCTAAGTTTTCTTATATAATCGGCAACTGATGTGTTAAACAGCTTCCAATTAATATCTATATATCTTCTACGGACTGTTGTAAATTGTGCTCCCTTACATATCAGATGTAATATTTTTTTTTAGCCAGCAAAGTTATTTTTGACACACCTCATATACCCGTGTCTGATGGCTCAAAATATAAAAACAGATTCCAGACATATCCGCTTTTCCCTAAGGATTCAATTCATATTCAGGACTCGTGGACAAAGTGAAACCGTCTGCGCTCAAAGAAGAACCGATTTAGAAATAAAATGGAAAGACATTGTGATAGTATTTTTGTCTCAACAATATATCGTTTCTCCGACCCGACATCACTCTAACTTGCTTGGTCCACTGGCACACATTCATCCACTTGTACACACGTTTGCCAATTATCAATAAACTAAAACTCGAGCTTTTCCTCCCTTTCATTAATCCGTCCAAAAGTCAATTGCGATCAATAAATAAATTTTACTTCATTTTAAAAATTTATTTATAGACCCTGAGAATTAAAGCTCACATTTCCAAAATTATATAGTTAAAATTAAAAATTTTAATCGTAATGAATAATTTTGAAACTAGCCATTAATTTATTTTTGTTTTTCCTACATAAAAAAATATAAACATTTCTTTCCATAATTTGTGTAAATTGGTATATTCTTAATTAGATAATTATTAAATAGATAATCACGCAATCAATTGTACTCTGGTAAAGATATATTTCCAGCTCAATAATAAACTAATGTAAAACTTTTAGAACTGAGCTATTTAAATTAGGTATTAGTAAATTTTGTCAAAGGCGTTCCAAGGTAAATAATTTTTAATTATTAAAAATATACTGTACGGGTCCAATATATTTTTCAATATTTTCATGGCAAAACGTCTCAGTTTTCATTAATTTACTAACAAATATCTAAATAAAAAATTAAACTATAATCATGAATGATATCTTATATTATCAACAATAAAATAGAGAAGTCGAAACTAATATTGAATTAGTTACTTGCCCCAATCCATAATCAGATCATGAATATAGATCGATATAGAACAGTTAAATATAGTTTATGGAAACATTTTCAGAAGAAAGTAAATAGATTAACAACAATATGAATGTGCAATAGACCAACCAAAGGCAGATAAATGGCCTTAAAGTGTCTCCCATCTTATGGCGATGAACTTGAGGGGAAGGGGTTGTTTCATCCTGATGTGTCTCCACCCAGTAATCTTCTGGTATACCCACGTCTTCTTCATAGGCCTTCTCCACGAAACTGGTCGCCGATTCTTCATGTCTGTACAATAGATTGCCTGAGTCATTCAAGTTTTCCAATCAATATTAAAGAAATATCAAAAACTCCAATAGCACCCCATCTCCTTCCCGCAAAAGTAAAATGTAACTAAGAGTTTTCATTACAATACCTCTTTGTAAAGTTAATGGTGTGCTCAAAGAGTAGGTATAAAAGGAAATGGATAGAGCACAGGTTAGGAGGTAAACTTCAAATGGTATAAAAAAACGCAGTTTATAGCGGATATTGAACACGGATTTCTCAGATATTCAAACTAGCAAAAAAATAATATTGTTGCTAATTTTATCAGCTTTAATTTTCTATAGTTTCTAATTCTATTTTTTTTTTCTATCAATAGAAAGCATGGTTTCTCTTATTTAAGCGAAAAAACGAAAAACGTGACCTTTTTTAATTTATTTTTTGGGTCATTCCTTCCCTTGGATTTTCCTGGGCCAGGGGGTGTGGGCTGGGGTTTCAAAGACTTCCCCGACACCGAGAGGAGATCTCGTGACTATTTTTATCTAGTTATCAATTGTCGGTTGCTGGGCAACGGCGGTGCTGTGCACACACGTTAGCCCGTTCCAGCCATCCCGCTCACCGAAAAACGTTATAAATAACGTTTAAGGATAAAAAGGCTATCCTTCTTGGCTCAGCTCCTGGGAGTGGGGACTTTTAGTATGTCGACCTCCTATCAGGGCCTAATAAACTCCTAAAGAAATCCATTTGCTTCTTTAATCTTTCATTGACTGGACTATTTCTAAATATGTTTAAATTATTCTTATATTCTTTTTTATAATTAATCTTTAAGTGGCCCAGAGAGTGACACTGATCTATTATCTTTAATATATTAAAGTTAGCATATATTATTAGCAAAAGTTAGCATATAAGATATTATTATAAAGGAAGGAGATGGTCCGGGGTTGCGGTCATAAATAGGCTAAATAGTGGTAAAACTATTTTATTGAAAATCGACGTTTCGACCCAACTTTGCAGATCTTCTTCAGGGAGGTGTATTCAGCTAGAAGTTTCACTTAGAACTGAGTTAATAAAAATAGTTTTTATAAAATAGTCAATAAAATAGTTTTACCACTATTTAGCCTATTTATGACCGCAGCCCCGGACCACCCTCCCCCCCCCCTTCCTTTATAATGCAACGATCAACTATTAAATATTCAAGATATTCTTGCAGTAAAATCAAAATAAGTATTAGCCAAGCCGTAAGGGGATGAGGTTGATCGAAACGAGAGAGACTCGAAATCAAAACAGTTCCTGCTCTATTCAACTTCCTAGCTGATTCCTACGCGATGTTGAGAAAGTGACGCTTAAAACGAGTGAATTTACTCAGGGTAAGCTCAATTTAGTCCAGCATCATGATTACGCTGAGTTTAAGAAATATTAATCAAATCATTGCGGAAAGTTAGAACTCTTGGTACAAAATATATATATATATATAAGGAAATATACCTACCGATTAACAGAAATTAATTTAGATAGAAAGAAAATGTAATCAAAATATGTAAAGTTGATGATAAATAACAACTCTCAAGTTATAATAAGAGTTAATCTAGCATATTCATCGGTTTTTGAGGCAATGGTGATTAAATCGATGAATTGACCACGCGCTGGGTTTAGAGACAAACTACCTGATAGATTTCTGATGTTCATCAATGAGCTTAGCGCTGAGTTCGGGAACTTGCCAATAATATTCATTTTATTTTTTTTCCATTAGAATATTCTTTTTATTAAATTACTTCACGCTATCCAACAATGAAGGTTCTCTGCCAAAAACTAATGTATCCGTATTTTCTTAATTCTTTCCATCTTTCGGTACAAATAAAAGCAAAACTGTGCTGTTTTTTTTTTTATCACTCGGAGTTCTCTCAACGATTTTTTTCAAGAAGAAAGTTTCGTACCGTTTTGGTTGAAGTTTGCTGACTAGGAATGTCTCGTGGTCTGAAGAAAAAACACATAAGACGCATGATTCAGAAAAAAAAACAGTTTGAATCTATCTTACTTCGAGAGCCTTGGGTTTACTAAATAAAAAAGTAGACGACAGTACTAAACTATCGATATTTATTAATCGATTATTAATTATACAATTGATACGAGCATTCCCAAGCGACTTCTCATATTGTATTTAATAATAAGTGATGATGTGAGCCACTAGCGGATCCAGGATTTAATTTTGGGGGCTTCAGCCCGAAAGCTTTTTTTCATATATATATATACAACGATAATTAATTTGAAAAAAAAAAGAAATTCATTACCTATATGAAATTGTGTTTTAAGTAGTTCTTGAAATCGTATTTAATGTAATTACACGAACAAGAATACTTTAAGAGAAAGTTTTTATATTTTTTTCCAGTAAAATATGGTTATAATTTACCATTTGGGGGGGACTTCGGCCTCCGTATATCCGCCTGTAATTTGAGCTGACAGACTAATAAGAAGATATGAATGTATTGGAATGCCATTGCAGAACAATGACCGACTATAAAATTATTGCCTACAAATTCAACAGATCCTTGGCATTTATTCTAAAGCAAATGAATACCTAACACGTTTTTATTGAATTAAATATCTTCTAACAAGAATTCGGACTATCGCTAAAATCTGAGGCGCATATGCATATCAATTTCTGTGTTTCAAAACATGTACATAGTTTGATGATAGTCAATACTCGTGTTATAGCAGAACTATTTAAATGCGGTCGCAATTAATTGTTTTCAGAATAATGATAATTACCAGGAAATTAAATCATGACCTAATACTTACTCAACTGCAGATTGCTGTGTTGGCAATAGTATTAAAAGAACACAGATGTATGAAAATGACGCCATTTTAACGATTTGCGTATTAAGAATCATGTGTTCAACAGACGTGAGAGCTTTAAATGGGTTATCTTTAATTAACTTCATTGTTAACTATAATAATTTTGTTAGTCACCACCAATTAGACTGTTAATCGACAACATTCCCAGATGCTGATATAAATCGAAAAGTTAGTCACTGTCATTCTGTTGAACTTAAAAAATATAGTCCAACTTTAAATAGATAAGTTATCGGATTATGAAATATTCCAGACAAACAAAGGTTCCATTTATATAAAACCCATGTAAATGGAACATATAATAAAAATGAAACATATAAAAATGCCAAGACAAAATATTTCAGTCCATTTTTCTCCTGTTTCTCAACCGATTTTTTTTTTTTTGTCTCGTAGCTGTTGACGAGCTTTATTGTTATCAATAAAAATAATTTGGAAACTGTATTGATATAAATAAAAATGTAAATGTTAGTTTGTTTGTAAATGTTAGTTAATCTCCGAAAGTTCTTCATCGATTGCTTTGAAGTTTTGATACAACGTTGCAACGGAATTCAGAATTTTTTTTTATATTCGTTTCGTTAACATCCGGTCTTTCTTCATTTCGACATCGATGACAAAAAACGTGTGTCGCTATAGTCTATAGCGCCAATACGGCTGTAGCGATTTTAATGAAACTGGGCTAAAGTCTTATCTTCAAACCCTTTTAATATATATATATCACAAAATTAATATCCTGGGAGGTCAAGTTTTGAAAATTAACCCTTCGTTTAACTAAAACATTTGTCAGGCTAATTTGCCGGTTGACCCCGTCGCCAAATATTAAGAGAGGTGACAAAAACGGAGCCGCCCCCCTCCCCTCGAGGCCTTTCACTAGGTAATTAGGGACGTTCACTAATGACCCGCTCATGCTAATCCCGGCAAAGAGGCAACCGTTGGAAAAACAGAGGATGAGGGCCGGGAAAAACGAGAGCGCCCCCTGTACTCGGAGGAATATCAACGATATAATCAAAGCGGCCCTTAATTACTGAGAGCTTTGGCAGGCCATTGTATTTCAGTAGTTATTAGGTCCTCTAAGTCAGCAGGTCCTATCCAGTTCCAATATAACTATTTTATCTTCCTCATAAATTTACAAGAAATAAACTATACCTTAAACTTTAGAGCAAAACGAATGTAACTATATGTATTAATCTAACATATACAGAGTTTGTCGGCGATATTATATAGGGTTTGGAGATCACTAACAGCAATAAAGGAAACTATTTTATTACGGCCATCCGTTCTATATATGAGGGGTATTGCAACAACTCTTTTGCTATTAATTTGATTCTTTGGTTTGTGAATGTTAGCGGACTGTATTGTTTCTATTTTGTAGAAACTAAAAAATATGAGGTATAGTTATTCGTCAGACTAACGTACTAACGAGGTGTTATTTTTCAGTTGTTATTCGTCAGACTAACGTATAAGCCAAAGCAAAATTTCATCAAATTACCTAATAAAGTCCTTAATAAAAATAAACAAATAGGCTTGTATAGAATTTTCGAGGGCAATATTACCTAATACCGTCGCAAAGGATTAATCACGAAGCGGAAGGATGAAACCTACCTTCGGAGGGGAGGAGTAATTAACTTCATCCTCCCCTGAACAAAGAGATAAGAATACTGTGGTCATTAAGGCCGTCCCCGATATCTCATACCAAAGATAGCTTTTACGCTATTTGTTTTACGATTCTAAAATTTAATGCAGAAGTATTAAAAGGTTTCTGACTATTTTTTTCCTGACTAATTATTTTTTTTAAATAGGTAAGTTTAAAAATTCTTTGCCACATAACATCCGTCATGCCTCTTCCCTGTCAATTTTTAAATACCTCCTTTTCCAATATCTCCTTACATTCCAAACAGAAGATTCACAACCATAAATTTCATTTTATGAACTGAATTTGGGTGAAGTAAATGGTGGTGCCTACTGTTAAAGTTTTGAGATAAAACAGCAATGATCTTTGTCATCTAGTTTGACTATTATTTTTACTATTTATTTGTTTTTTCTTCTCCTCAGGTTGTGCTTTTTCTTTCGGGTATATATATTTTATACTTTTGTCTCTCTGTGTGCCAATATGAGAATGTACGTCTAAATAGTTCCTTTTTTTTTTTTTCCATTACACCACAAGTAATCCTAAGATTTTATTTTATCTTAGTGTCTGCATATTATTATATAAATCAATGTAGATATTATTACATTTTGTATTAAGTTATTTTTCTATTATATAACCTATTGTTTATAAATTGTGTAGTTATGTATATATAAATATGTAATTTCTTTTCTTTTTTTTCATCACAATAATAAGTAATTTTGAAAATATTTTATGTTCATTTATATATATATATATATATATATATATATATATATATATATATATATATATTTACTTTTTAGTGGTTACATACTTAAATAATGTATATAATATTAGAATTTTTATAAGTTAGTTTTTGGCCAGATTTGTATTTTACTTTATATTAATTCATCACTGTTATTCTAAGAGGACTTAGTCCCAGAATAAAGTTTAATTTTCTGTTCTATTCTATTCTAAGTGTGCAATAAATTAAAAAGAAAAAAAAGTGTAAACTTCACAATTTACTTATAGAAAAAAATTAATCTTTTACTGTTGTTTACATTTGCCGGCTCTTTTTCCATTTTTCTCAACAAATTTATTATTTTCGCAATACATTTCCTTAATTTTTGTAAGTAGTAGATTTAGATTTTTCTAACTTTTGTCAAAACCATTTTCAGGCACTAGAAAGTAATTATTGTATCTCTATTTTTCTTTTAATGTCAAATACTATAAAGGTTAATAGTTAAATAAACTTTTTAAAGAAACACGTTACAATAATTGGACAATGTACCAGATCCACACTGCTTATATTCTCAACGTTAACTGAGCTAAAATGTGTCAGTATGATTGATATGTGAAAAGAGTCATCATTATTGAAGCAATCCTTGTCAGTCATTTGGCTGTCATTCATGACTTATCGTGTAGGGTCCGCTTTATATTTCGTTAGAATAGCAGTACACCTCTTCTTTTTGTTTTCCTAATCCGGTCCCTTTACAAAAGATTCAAAATATAATCGATTATACCGAATTGGATTAAATTTAAATAAATCAAAGTTACTTATTCAGAGATATTTAAATGAGCCGTTTGGGGCTATTAATATTGAACTGACAGTGGGCCGCCAAGTTGTAATAGAATTTCGTTCCGGGGACAAAAGGTCCTTTCTGTAGAACTTTTAACTCGACCCCTGTTTTTTTTTCTTTTTCTTTTCAGACAGAAAAGTCTATCCTTTCATTTGATATTCGGTGGAAGGCGATATCAATCAGCGGAAGAAGTTGAGCCAGATTTATTGGTCTCCATCTTTCAACTTTGGAAGAGATAGATCCTCGTAAATCCGATTATAAGGAGAATATTTATTTGGCTGATTAAAATCTCAAGAAGAAAAAAAAATGCGACAATACAGAAGCCGTTCTAAGTAAAAGGGGTAAAATTTTACACTGATATTAAATAAATATAAATGAAAAAAAAACTGAATTCACTATTTACTTTACTAGTTAAGGTCGTGTTTGACGAACTCGTTGGTAATTCATATAGGACTTATGAGTCATGGAAAAATACTTTTTAAATCGTCTATTTTCGGGAGCGATTTTTTTTTTTTTTAATTTTTAACATCTTTTTATTTTTAAAACCATTTTTTTTTTTATTCTTATAACATAAAATAATATTAAGAACTAGCTTTACTGACCAATATAAAATAAGATTTATGAAAAAATAATCTATACAAATAAAATAAAGGTTTTGTTTGTACATTGAATAAAATTGACCCGTTTCATGCATTACAAACACCAAATCCGCTTTTAAAAAAATGTCCACATTGTCCAACGCGAGCCGCATTTAAAAGTTGTAATATTCAACTGATGGAAAAAATTATCACAACTCAACGAGAAAAATCCGAAATCCCGAATATCTGTAACGCGTTGTCGATTAAAACACGCTCATTTTTTAACTTTGTCAGATCTTCCCGTTCAAAATGTCATTCGATTCAACTTCCCAAGTCTAACAAATGTTGTCGTAGACATTTTTAGGATTAACCAAACGGGTTAGCCGGAAACCGGAAAAACACCCAAAAATTTCATCCCGCCCGCCACAATATTCAGATAAAGTTCTAATTTTACACGGATATAGGTGACTCAATGTTACAATACATCCGTCAAGGACAGGTACATCAGCTAGTATGGAAATAATAAAATGTAAATTATTATGATATTAAAATGGTTCATATTAAAATTATTAAACAAAAACAATGTGTACAAATTTGAACAGACTGCACCTTTGCTAATAATGATCCGATGTCTTTTTTTCAAATCACCGTTAAGTATAATCAACCATTTAGGATGCATAACTTTTGTCCCTCCTTTTTCTTGGCCATGTGCTTATTTTTCGGCACTGGCGGGGAAGAAAATCTACAAAATGACACCTAAATCATTGCATTTTATGACACATTAAGGAAGATATGGGGTAAAGAAAAATGCACACGTTAAAGAAATTATTTCTTCGGTTTGTTGCAGCAAGTCACCAACAAGGGGAGTCTACAGTCAGTGGGTTACCGATTTCAAACAATTTTTTTTCAGTGATACTACATAGAAAAATATATCAAAAATGTTCCGGCATTCGTTCCAATTGGTTCTAGGATCCATGAAAAAAAATTATATAGCAAAATTTATGTTCTTTAATTTACATTTACATTAATTTGATGGCAAGTTACGCCATCAAAATTTTTGAGGATGGCAAATTCCCACGGAGTTACGAATTTTCGGACCAAGGGACAAGGAAAGAACGTGGAACATACTGCAGCAAGTGTAATTGTATATGATCTGCGATTTTTCTTAGCTTGCTTTGTTTTTAAGAGAAGGTGGGAAATAAAATATTTTGAGAGGAAGGGTGCGGTTAGGTTCTTGCGCCATCGACCTTTGGGGAGATGTGCACCTCCACGGGCGGATCTACGGGGGAGGGGAGGGGGCTTTCGGGCTGAAGCTCACCCCCAAAATGTTAAAATATAACCATGTTTTATCGAAAAAAGTATCTCTTAAAGTATTATTGTTCGTGTAATTACATTTTAAAGGGCTTTAGGAATCACTTAAACACCATTTCATACAGGTAGTTAGCTTCTTTCTTTTTTTCCAAAGTAATTATCGTTATTTTTATGGAAAAAAAACTTTCAGGCAGAAGCCCCCTCCCCCCAAAAATTAAATCCTGAATCCGCTAGTGGGCACCTCTGCTTAGTTTTGCCCGGAATTTTATATCATAGTCTGTGATAAAGACCCCTTTTTATCAAATTATTAACATCAGCTTTATACTTCGTAAACAGCTTCATCTCATCGTAGCCTACAACTATTTTATTTCCAAAAACTCTTGGAATTAGTGCGTTTTCAAATCTGGAGGTCGCCAAACTATGTCTGTTTAATTAAATATTAAAAACTCGTAATTAACCATTTGTTTTCTACTTGGATCGTAAGATTATTTGATCACAAAATCGATTACAATGTTGGACAGTTTGGCTTATATAACCTCGTTATTTTGACTATTTGTGGGTATAGGTCACGCCAAACTGATCTATATTTTTGAAGCCTACATTTTTTCTCGATTTTGTGCTCAAATTATCTTACGATTCAAGTCGAATGCAAATGGGTATTTACGAGTTTTTAATACCTAATTAAATTTACAAGTTTGCCGATCACTGATTGAAAATGCCCCAATTGCGAGAATTTTCGTAAATAAAATATTTGTAGGTTACGATGAGAGAAAGCGATTCGCGAAGTCTCAGGCAGATGTTAATCATTTGCTTTAAAAAAAAGGGTCTGTACCACGGACTTTTATTGTATATCAATCGATTTATTTCTTTTTTTTTGTGTGTAAAATAAAAAAAAAATTAACAATAGTATTAAATGAGTTCTAAATGAATAAATTACAACAAAAGTCATCAGCGCTTTCAGTAAAATAAACCAAGTAAATTTTTGTCATGAAAAAATGTTACATTCAATTTTAGTGTCCTTTAAAACATTTAAATAAGAATTTCTATAGAAATAAAAATTGCAAAAGTTCGTACTTGATTTTCTTAGTACAGTTTTTTTCCGGCCGATAACTAAATCATTCATAACTTAGGATTTTCTCCAAGTTCAACGTTAGTATATAACCGTTGGAAAGCTGAATTATTTCTCTTCCAACCGAACTCGATAACTTTCAAGTTTCTTTCATTTTTAAGCTAGAAATTAACAATAATTTCTCTATCATTTTTATTTTCTGTCTTAGGTTCCCAATTGTTTACGGAGGTCGGTTTTGTACCATTTTGTGTAGCATATAAGAACACTGAATCATTCTTGAGTGGATTTATGGAGCCACTCAAAAGTTATAGTTAAGAAATTTCAATCCTATATTGTTTTTTATCATTTGAATTTTATTGTAGTTCAAATTTACGTGATTTTTTTTTCCGTATAAGTACCTAACTACACCTTTCGTAGCGTTGAGTAAAGTAAAAATATTACACCTAATTAGGTAATGAAATTACCTAGAAACTGAGACTAGAAAGCCTTGTCTTGAAACCCATCCGCCTTTTCTTAATTCATTTCAACTAATGATGTAATGGTAGGAATGGACGGACAAGTTTGTCATTGGGGCTAGTGGATAACGCTGCACTAACTTTTTAATTAAACTTAGAGTTAGCCTGAAAGTTAGGGACTACACCTGTATAGGTGCCACTCCGTTGATCCAGCACATCTCAAAGAGCTCTGACTTAATCTCATCCTGTGGGGACGAATGCTCTGGGGGCAAAGTGAGCCTCGATCTCCTTAAACTTTGAGTGCAGTCACCAACTTAGGATTAGTGAAGCAAAGTATTTTTTATTGAGGAATTTTTGTTACCACTTTAATAGATAGGCAGTAAACTCAAAGTCTGGTGCGGTGCGCACATCAAACAACTTTCGCTTACCGTTTTTTTTTTTTTTTTTTTACAGAAATGGGTTTATTCAGAAAAAGGGAAGTGAAATTTAAAATTAAAAATGGCAAACAATGTAATTTAAAATATCACCATACGTTTTTACAGCCGTCAAATGTAATATATTTATTGAAGAGAAGAATGGTAGGGGCAATCAGTAAAAATAAAAAATTATACATTTTTTTTATTTTTGCCGACGTTTCGGCCCAAAATTTAGTCCTTCATCAGAAAGACTAGGAAAAAATCAGACAACAATAGGTACGAGAAACTATAAACATTGTTATCTGATTTTTTCTTAGCCCTGATGAAGGCCTGAACTTAGGGCCGAAACGCCGACAAAAATAAATATTTTTATTTATTTTTACTATTTTTTTTTATTGATTACTTCAAACATTCTTCTCTTCAATTATTCACTACAGTCAACCATCAATCCACAATTAAATAATATATGTATGCTTTTTTTGTCACTAACCATTTCCTGTATATTTTAATTATTTATATGATTATAAATAATAATTAAGTATGATAAAATAGTTTTATCTGGCAAGCCTTGATAAAGAAAGTAGCTTTATTTATTTAGGCAAATAATAGATATATTTAAGGAAGAAGATGGTCTGGGGTGGCGGTCATAAATAGTCTAAATAATGGCAAAACTATTTTATTAAAAGCAAATGTTTCGACTTTGCAGGTCTTCTTCAGGGAGGTGTATTCAGCAAAAAGTTTCACTTAGAACTCAAGGTGTTCTAAGTGAAAATGATATTTATAACTGCATTAAGAGTTAAAATATATTTAGTAAATTTGATAACATATAATAATAACATGAAATCACTTGTTGAGAAACTACCCACTAGTAGCACTCTGAAAAAAAAAATGTATTTACAATAGGAGATCTGAAGGCCATCTTCTTTTCTGATTCCTCGGAGGGTTATCAGGGATAGAAGAGGGAGCAAGGTTAGAATCGAGAGGATTTAGATGGTTATGAAATTTATTATGGAAAGATAGGCATCTGGATTGGGCCAAATTGGAAACATAAGGAACATTAAGATCATTATGGATTATTTTATTGGTGACAAAGTATTGAGGCATTGAGGGTTTTCCGAATTTTGGATTGTAAGGATTGGATTCCTGAGGAATTTGATGGCTTTGCGGTACCCCGAATCTCAACTCCATAAGTCCAAATAGGTCTTATTGTAATCATGTATATGTAGGTCTAGTAAGTGCTGGAGTAGTCGGAAACGTGGAGCTGTTTTTTGTCGTTCCAGTCTGATATGAGGATTCCAAGTTAGACTTTGTCCAAGTTCTCCATTAGTTAATAATCTAATTCTTTCATATTTTATATCTAACAATTTTTTTTAGCAGGTTACAATGTGAAATGTGTTATTTCAAATTTTAAAAAAATAAAGGCACTTGAGACATAAATGGATATAAGACCTAATTATATTTAAAACCACTTAATTTGTCACAAATATAATGAATTTAATCAACATTTTTAGAGCTGTCTTCATGAAAATTGTAAAAATCTATAAAATCAATTATATAAAATGGAACTTTGAATTATCCTAATTTCACAATATAATTGCTAAGACTAATGAAGACAGGAACCAATTCACATTCAACAATGTGAAATGACGCAATTAATAACATTATTAAGCTGTTTGTCTGGATCATGTTGGGTTCTTTCTTGTTTTCATAAAGGAGGAAGGAGTTTCGAAACATAAAATAACAGCTCATTGCATTGTATAATAAATCTTGTTTTGTTTAGGATAAAAAATGTGGGACATACATATACTATAATAAAAACATAATTATAAAAGTATAATATTTTTTCAAGTAAAAACTTCTTTAGGTACGTTTTGCACTTTTTTTTGTTCAGAGTAAATTAGATTGACCATCAGATTTGAGATGTGTAACGCTCAGGTAAAGGTGACTGGAGTCGACTAATTGAAGTGTTATTGCATATGGATTAAAATATCTCATTAACTAAAAATTGGGCCTGCATACTGCAAATGAGGAAAATGTTCAGGATTTCATGTTCTTTGTAATAAACTATTATCTAAAATTGTATCTTAACATGACATTGTGTTAGAGATTCATAAAGCAAACAATATGATATATATTTGGGAATACAGAACAAAACCAAATTTATATTTCATATTATTAATCTCTCCTTATGGTTTTTATCGTGTGGTATAAAAAAGCACACACCGAAGTTTTTTTCTTTAGAGGATCCTTCTCCTGTGATCCTTCTCTCATGATATACCTTAACATTCATTATTTAATCCTACTTTATTAGATTTTCAATTTTAAAATAGATTATAGTCAACCTAGTAATGACAATTTAAAGTCTTTATTGCTAAAAGATAGTTATAAACAAATTACAATTATTTTAATAGTTAATTTAAAACATTGATTTTTTATAAATAAATTTTCATTCTTCATCAATTTTAAAACGTTCATGAACAATCTTGGCAGGTGTTTGCACCCTCTTCATTGACATAAAGGGCTCGTGCTCGTCTTCAAAGCTGATAAGAGAAATTTGTTTCACAGGCTGACTAACATCTGTTTCTTCAATTTGATGGACAAGTCGACTTACATGTGCACTTTCAATTTCTTGGAAAGGCCGACTACCATCTGTTTTTTCAATTTGTTGAACGGGTTGGCTAACATCTGTTTCAACACTTAAAAGTTTGCTAACTTCTGCTTCATCCAATCTTTGAGGGATCAATTGACAAGAAACAATCTCCTTCTTTTTCCAGAACTTCCAAATACTGCCTTTGGTTTGGGGGACTTCTTTTTTTTGACTTTTGGTATCAACTGAATGTTTTTCTGTGGTAGCACTAACTGCATCTTCTTTCTTTCCAAAAAGGCGTTTGAATAAATTCTTATAACCAGTTGATTGCTTTGTTTCAATCAATGGAAGTGAAGGTGTTTCAGATCGAAGTATTGCAGCTTCTTTGAAAACTTCAGATCCATGATAATTACCCGTTTTTATCCAATTTTCAACCATTTTAGTGCTCTTTGACTCTTTAGATGTAACCGTCTGAATAGATATTTCTTCATTTTCACTTTTAGTGCTATCACTAGTTTGCTTGAACACTCTTGTCACATCTCCGAACAATTTCTGTTTTAGGAAATGGATTCTAGTTCCTTCAACTTTCTTTTTAGGTTTTTTAGACCCTTCTGATGTTTTGCTAGGAGTAGAGAGAAAAGGCTTGTCAGATTCATTTTCAGATTGGTCAGTCTTTTCTGCTTTCTTTTTATGTCTCTTCAGCCGTGGAAAGTGTAAAAACTTTTTTATCGTTCTTTGCACTTTTGACTTTGGCGGGGCAGGAGGAGGAGGAGGAGGAGAAGCAAGTAGATCATGTGATTGTTCAATCTCTTCTTCTTTATCAACATGGTGTTCTTGAGTATCCTCTACAGGAGGGACTATGTTTACTGGGCTCAAATCTATAAACTTGGGTTTCTTCTTTTCATCATCTGCATCAACAATGAGTGACCAAAGACCAGACTTTCTCCTTTGAGACAAAGTCAGTTTGTGTTCATCTTCTTCTGGATGGTGTTCAATCTGCAAAAAAATAAGGTTTTATTTAGTCGAACCACTTTGAGTTATCACAGGCATTTCAACTCTCAATACATACAGGATAGGCAAAATCATTAATGGTTGCCCTTGAAATAGGTTTTTGAGCTTCCAGGTCTATAAAAGCAGATGTGGTCAGAGATTTATCTTTTTCTATGTCTCTATTTCTGAACTGGTAACCAAATGAGAGCTCAGATTCGGCAGTGTCTTCTAATACAGCTAATTGGAGAAAAAAAGAGAGAAAATTGAATAATTCTGTCCACAAACTATCACTAAAAATTTGATTCTTTTTTTCTTTTTTTCCTGGGAAGTTGTCAATTTATTAAGTTGCTTGGCAATAATAACTTCCAATTATTAATATACGAGTATATTTTTTTTAACATTACATGTTACAGTTTAGTTGACGTTTCGGGGCCTTTCTTAAAAAAATATATCATAAAAACTTAACTTAAAAAAATTTTTTAGCCTTGCATCCACAAGAGTATTGGAATTGCAGTTCTGAAGATGGGAATAAAAGGTCCCGAAACGTCAACTAGACTGTAACATGTAATGTTAAAAAAAATATACTCGTATGTTAATAATTGGAAGTTATTATTGCCAAGCAACTTATTAAAAATTTGATATTATATTACAATATCCTTTTAAAAAAAAACAAGTGGAGGATTTTCTACTAAATATAGATAACCCGCTACCCACCATTTCTGGCATACCATTTCTCCCGTGACGGGGGGAGGGGAGGGGGGTTGTTCTAGAGGTATAACCAAATCTATTCTAACCAGAGTGGGAGGGTCGAGAGCAGGCATGGCATGGGTAAAACATGTTGTTTTTTTTAAATCACAAAATAGTATATGGGTCAATCCATTTGAAACCACCCAGACTACGTTGGTCAGCATTTTTGATTTTTACAACTTTTATACCAGTTATTCCATATTTATTATAGTTCAAAACTGTAGTTAAAAAAAATTTGAGGCTCACAGAACTGAAACATGTTTTGGTAAAATGCCTGTAACTCTGGTTTTGTAGATCTCAAGCCAAAATAAAAACTGAAATAATTTAGAGTATTTTTTTCTACAATACATCACCTAGAAAGAAAGGAAAGTGGTTTAAAAAAATCATGAAAATAGACAAAAAAAAAGTGACTTTTAGGGCTGCCGGCCGGTGTGTAAAGTGTAATAAACAAAAAAGTCGCAACTTTAATTTTTTCTTCATATGTTGTCCTACCACTGCAATTCTTTCTGATGAAATTTCAATCTTGAAAGCCTAGTCCTTTTTTAGATTTGAATTTTCAAAAATGGACAAAAATCATTTTCGTCAAAATTTTAGTTTGAATATCATAAAACTGAGTAGAAAATTATGAAACTTGAACATTTTAAAACTTTTTTTTTTTTCTTTAAGACTTTAAAAAAAAAGTCCTATTTGCCAGTAAAATATTTTAATTGTCATACTGAGACGTAATTACACTGAAGATTTATCAATTATTGATCATTAAGTGTAACTAAATATATTTTTTTGTTTTTATTTCTTAAAGACATTTACAACTGTATTTAACTAAATATTGAATGTAACTTATATAGAATTTAAACTAGAAAGACTAATATGTTAAATAATGATAATAATAATATAAATAATAATAATAAAGACTATAATGTTAAAAGCTGAGGTGACAGTAGTTTCATAATATTTAAATGAGAATAAGAGGCGACTTTTATTATATAACTAATTTTATGTCATTCAAAAACTTTATCAAGTCATGGGCGTTATCTTTATTCATTGACCGAATTTCAAAAAACGTATTGCGTAAAGGAAGACAGGAAGTAAATATATATATATTTAATTGATATAAACTTAATATATTTTCAATTGAAAAAAAGTGATCCTTTTTTTATTTTTTAGCGATGTAGATGTTAACTTTTCACTTTATAAGAGCATATAAAATATATTCTCCAAGGTTATCTTGAATTTATTTATTTATTTTTTGGTTTTCCTGATCATTTAGCTTATTTCTGAAATTTATTTGAGTCTTCCAGAGCATGACGATTAAATTTTATTATAGTTTAAAGTTTGGGGTGTACCACACCCCACAGTGTCACAATGAGTTGACGTATTCAAGTGTGTCATTCTAGGGTTAAACCAGTGTTTTCCCCCAATCACAAATACAGTTGTTAAGGTGAAAGTTTACTGTTGAGGCGCTTACATATATCAGTTGATCTGATATTAACTGCCACTGCAGCAAAAATGTATTTACCAACATGTAAATATTACCATTACATATAAATATTACATTACCAATGTGTGTAATGATAAACTAAAATTCAATTCAATGTCTCAATTTCATATTGTAGAATGCTGATTTATCATTTAAATAACGCAATTTCCAGACATATTTGATATGATATAACTCTGTAGCCGATTGAATCTCAGTCACCAAATTTGTTCCATTTATCCTTATTATGAAGTGTTATAAAATGTACAAGTTTCATCATTTTCTACTTAGTCCTTTTTATGATATTCAAATTCAAATCTCACTGAAAATGATTTTTGGCTGTTTTTGATAATTCAAATCTAAAAAAGGACTACATAGATACATACATAGTACACTGATAGCATTACATATGAAAAAATAAAAATAAAGTTGAGACTCTATTCATTATTACAGTATTGCTGCGCTAAATGTCTCGTTTTATGTTAATTTTAATTTTATAGTTGACAATTTTTTTAACAACCTTCCTCACTACTTATGAGAAATGTGAGGACAAAAATTTAGAGTTAAACATCATAATAATTTAATTTTTATTTTTTTTTTATATCTGCAAAAATGTCGCAGTTACAGTAGGTAGAATACACTGATATCGACTCACACTAGTTTGTTGCGCTATAACTAATAAGACCAGTTGAGTCTCAATGATCAAATTCGTACAACACATTCCTATCATTAAGGGGTATAAACTGTATCAATTTCATAATTTTTCTTAGTCAACGGTTGTGCAAGGAGGTGATTTGACTGAGATCACGCTCAACCGCCAGGTTTTCTCCCTTCATTATTTTTTTATTATATTATATAGGCGTTCCAACGAGGGTTGCCTTTCACCTCAGAGCTGAGCTCCAGAGAGTGTGGTCAAGCCAATCCCCATTCTAAAGAGCCTGGCTAGTCATCTCTTCCACTTCATGTATCCATCTTTTCCTGGGTCGTCCTCGCCTCCGTCTTCCCGGGGGTTGCCAATCTAAAATTCGGTTAGGTCAATTCTATCGCTCGGTAGAAATTCATGTTACATGGCCGTACTATACCAGTCTTCTCTGCCTAATTCTCTGGTTGACACATACACGGGTCTCCATCCTGTTAGGGACAGGACAACCTCGTTCCTAATTCTATCTATCCTTGTCACACATAATTAATTATTTCATTAAGTTATTATTAAGAAAAAATTGAAAGTACCCACTTTATAGAGATTGTGTGTGCCCCAGGAGGATCTCCTCATCCCAGGGTTGTGCCACAGCTGATGAATCAGAATAAATATTTTTTCTGCCATGAGACAGGATTTGAACCCAGGACCCTTGAGCATTGGAGGATCAATGCCCTACCACTGACCAACCCCACCCCTCAAAAAATATTATTAAGTCAAAATAAAATTATGTTTATCCTTTTTATATTAGTTACCTCCAGTTGTATTGGAATCAGCAGTAGAGGAAGTATCTTCAGTGCCAGGTAAACTCACAACATCTGAAGAGTCCCTAATAATAATATATTTGGTCAGTAAATATAATAAATTAATATCTGAGGCACCTGCACATAGTGTGATAAGTGCAAAAAAATGTTAGTGAAAAATATTAATTTATTCTGAATTATCTACAAAAAAAAAAAAAATCATCGAAATCCATTTGAAATTAGTATATTTGCAATAATTTATACCTACTGATAGAGCAAAGTTTATTCAAATAATTTTTTAAGAAGAAACAGGGTTGTGATTTGTATTTAGCACCTCCAAAAACTCCCAAATACAAATTTTCATATCGATAAAAAATAAAACTATTTTCCTTCAAATTTTATTGAAGGAATTTATCATGGTTTTTTTTTTTTCCGAAAATCACAAAAAATTTGATAACGATAGATTTTAATGAATGAGCTATTAAATGAAAAGGAATTTCATGAAAATGTGAATAACCATAGTCAAATCTTCCCGAAGTTTCAGTGGAAAAACTTATGAAAGATAAAAAACTTTATTTGCAAATAACTTAAAAAGTCTACAAGTTTTTGTTGATATGCACCAATGATAATTTGAAAAACCTCTGAATTATCAACAAAACAAAAAAAAATCTTCGAAATCTATGGAAAATTTGTATATTAGCTACAATTTACACCTAGTGATAGAGCGAATTGTATTTAAATATTTTTTTAAGAAGAAACAGAGTTGAGATTTTGGCATTTTCACAGGTGCAAGTTCAATCTTCGAGTTTCAACCCATGATTCACAAAGGGATCATGGTAATAAGTAAATATCAAACAATAATATTGCTACTATAGTATCAATATTCACCAAACATACTAAAATATCAATAAATCAGACCTCTTTGTTTTTAATCTTCGATAGAAAAACTCATGCCTGAGAGCGGACCATGCCCTGGTGACGGTAGACTGAGTCAGGAGCCTGTCAGGCTCTTTCTCGTTAAACAACAGGGTGCTCAGTTATCAATTCTACTTTCACATTATCTCGTGGCCTTTCTATGAGGCAATAATTAGTATTTCTAAGGTTGGAGATTATGTACTATTGGAACGATATAACCTCAACAAAAAGGCAAAAGTGGTGAGTAGAAGTAATGATAAGTATTCCGTTATAGGGGCAGGAAAAGGTGTTGGTTAGTACTGTCCTCGAAGCCGCTCTGTATTTCTCACTCATCATTGCTAAAAGATTATAATATCTTAGATTTTTAGTAGCGCTTTGATTTACATATTGCTTATAAAAAAAAGTATCAATTTATAAACATTTGTCAATGAAGAAATAAAATCTTGCTAGGAACAAGATAACAAGAACATTGATTAAATACATATATTAAAAAACAAAAATTAAAAATGTAAATGAATGAATATTAAATAATTTCTAAATATTTATTTATAAAATATTGATATTATAAAAAAAGATTGGTGCTCAGTATTTTTGTTTTGTTTTTCTAATTGGTTTAGGTAGTCAAATTATATCAATATAAAAAATGTCAATACATCAATATTTTTATATTTTCCTAACCACCCTCAGCTTTTGCTCTCGGTGTCTCAGTTCACAAGAATTTAGTATATATTCCTTGGTGCTTCGCTCCTCATTGTAGGAGTGAATACCTTTAATTATGGAAAGAGAATCATTAATGATTTCAGCCAGAGGAGTCTAATAGAAACTCTTGGTTGGCACATTGGTCTGTAAATAACAATGTTGTCATATTCTTTTTTTGGCGGGCAATTGTAAATAGCCTTCCTTTCCATTTTTATAGGGGGACTAGGTTATTTACACTCGTGATTTAATTTTCTTAAAACAAAACTCCGATTCTGGATATAGACTTTTTGAGGGTGTTTAACTGTTGTAGGGAATTCGGGAACCTAATGCTTTTGTGACACTGAGTGACAAGAAATAATAAGAATATATATATGAAATGTGGGACTGAGTAAATATACTTTGAATGAATTGACTCACCTGGTTTGTTATTCTTCAATTGTGAGGCATATAGGACAACTAAATAAAAGGAATATTCTCTCCTATAAAACAAAATAATTTATTTCCATAACTGTAATAAATTGACTCTATTGAAGTGTTATAACTATAGGCTTGATCTTCTTAATCTTCAGTATAGTAGACTTATCAGGTTACATCGTTCCGTCTCCACGCCCCATACCTTCTTTATTCTCTGGTGTCCTTCTCCAGCTGCTGCTACCTGGTCGCTCCTTTTTCAAGCTTCGTTCTTCGTCGATTGTTTATCGATGTGAGACTTTTCAATGAATAATTTGTCCACTGTACAATTGAATACAATTCACAGTGCGACCTATATATTCCTTCTCATTCCCTCACACAATGTCACATAAAGGAGTAAATACTGGGGGCTATCTACTACAGGTATAAGAGAAATGGAAGGGGAAATTGGCCAAGCTATCAGGTGGCAATGAATTGCTACAACAACAACTACAAATATCATTATAGTATAAAACTCCACATCCAATTTCAGCTTCCAATCAGCGATGATATTGTTGAATATTATATTTTTTGATTAGGTTAACTTTACCTTTCTTCACTCATGTCAGACAAGTCTCCATATTCTATAGGTAGTTTACAAAGAGTACAAATATTTTGCAGTTGACCGTAGCAGGGAACACAGTATATTCCAATGCAATCTGGACGAGGACACTTCACCAGCGGCAAGGTTGAGGATCCAAGTCCTCCACACAAAAGGCATGCTTCCAATTCTTTGCCTCTCCATATTTTCCGAAGAATGGGGCATCTGAAATTGAAAAATTGTGAAATTTTTCTTAGATATTTTTTGAAAAAAATAAATATTCAATCAGACATAAAAGAAAATGATGAAAAAGGCTACTTATACTTTAATACCTTATAAATATATAAATTTTAAAGGAAAGAAATATATAAAAGTGAATATTAATAATATAATACCTTCCGTTAAGCTCCCTTATGGTGTTAAGAAAACACCAAGCTCAAAAGAATTTTGTAAAAAATTACAATGATAAAGAACTATAAAAATGCTAAACAAAAAATAATTCAAACTATACTAAAAATAAATAGAAGAAATAAATGAAAATTCCACTTAATTTTTGCAATAGTAAAATATTAAAACAAAATAAAGTTCTTAAATTTTCATAATATATTACCAAAGTTTAAAAAAAAATCTGCTACTCACACAACTATCACTTACTACTCCACTTTGAATAGAAATTAGGTTTTGGTAAAGTTGGACTACTAAAAATCTTTGAAGTACATTTTTAACAGAGCTTAACTTAAAACCTCGTTAAGACCAGTAAAATAACACAAACACCTTTTATTATATTGATGGTAGGCAATAAAAACCTTGTAACTTCATCTGTTTTTTTGAATCTCATAACTCCAGTCTTTGAGCTATAATATGGCAAGAGAGGTTTTAAAGTAGTTCTGATTATTTAACCTATAAATGAATACTGACTGTACTACATAGTAAAACTTATAGGCATTAAATCTGAATAACATTATTCCTGTTATTAAACTCTTATTTCTCCTTTGTGAACTTTACTAAAATGTAGTAACAAGATTTTCATTGCATACCATCGATAGGTCAAAAGTTGGCACACTAATTGTTGGTGGACAATGTTGCAATTCCACAGAGGGAAAATCCATTAAATTATTCATTAATTTAATTTTCTACAATGTTACATAATTATTTTTCAGAATAAATCAATAATAGATACCTAATTATTTTAATATAATATCGGATCCTAAACTACATTAAATATATTAAGGTTATAAACATATGTTTTACTCATCATTTTTCATTTCTCACAAGTACCTACAATAAAATAGTTTTTCATACAACGCCATTGCCTTGATTGAGTAATAATTTCAATTTCTTTCAAACTTAAAATAATTTTAAAAGTTTATATCTAGTAAGGAAATTTAACTTAATTTTATTGAAAACATATGGTTGCCATTAAATAATATTAGTTTTCAGATATTATTATATTTTTCATCACTCTCCATTACCTTCTACAAATTTATAAGTTAGAAAATATATTGTCTAAAATTCTCAGCTTTCCAACAATATATTATACATATATGTTCTGACTATTATTTCCGAAAATTCATTGTCAACCTAAAAAAAGTTTTTTTCTCCTTTATTCAATTATCAAATTCTTTCATAGTTTATAATGAGCATTATATTTATTACTAGTAACAATGAAAGACGACTAGTTATTTAAATTAAAGGTATTTTAGAGGAAAAAAAATTGAATATTAAGCATTTAAACCTTGTTAAGCAACATAAATGAGAATAATATCTTGCTGATATTAAAGATCATTTAATTTTACATTGATTGACTATGTTTAATCAATATCGTTAAAGCTGTTTTCGAGAAAATTGTAAAAATATATAGAATAGATGGTATAAAGAGGCACTTCCGCCTGTTAGCTGATTTTCACGAAAATGTTGCTGTAAGATCACAGGCAAATACATACCATAAATATATAACCTCAGCTTCATAAGACCTTTCATTTTTGAGCTAGACTGTTCACACAGACCATTATGTGGGCCATAGTTATTTGGACTCAGGAGACCTCAAAACGTGTATTTCCGTTGAAAACTCAGAGATTCGAAAATTTTCATGATCGTAATACTTTACTTTACTATACATAGGTAAGTGGAAGTAAAAGGAAAAGTTATACAAAAATTATCTGCTTTTATATATATATGATGAGGAACATGGACCGTGGAGATGGATGAAAAATAATTCACATGGGTGAGTAGTAGATTTTCCAAGATAAATTTTCTATTGGTGTAGTAGTAGTGAATTTTCCAAAGGTTAATTCAACAGAGCATACACTCCCATGTAAAACTGGAAGCTGCCAAGTACAGTTGAATACAGCGGCAGAGTGTCTGCAGTAATGAGTTCCAGCGGACTAAGGTGTTGACAGACTTTGTTGGCACTTCTTTATGTTGACAAAGACCCTGGGCTTAGTGCTTGTATCAAGGTTAAGTAAAACGAGCCACGTCAAAAAAAATACAGATGATACAAATTTACTAAAAACGATTTAGCGTGATATAGATATTAAACAGAAAACACTTAACACACAGAGCAATTTAGGAATTTAATTAAAAAACTACTGTAAAGAGGAAATTAAGGCTAGGCCATAGGTTAGGAACCTTTTTATCATCAGAGGTTACATTAACATTAGGCTGGGATAATAGAGGCCACAATAATTTTTTTAATTTTATTGTTGCTATTTTTATTTATAAGTAAATACTTGTGCATAAGCAAACGCATATTCATATATTCAATTTATTTTTCAAATTTTTGGAACATAAATAATCAAATATTAATTAATTGTAACACTAGATCAAAAAATTCCTCCTAAGAACTAAAAGAGGACACAGATTCTCAACCTGTGAACTAAGCTAAAGACTGGAAATGATAGTTGTTTTTCAGTTACAAAATTATTTATCTGCCATCTTCTATCTCAAATTTACAAAACTATCATATTTTTTACAGTTCTTTACAAAACATATGGAGAGAAACATGGTCACTTACGTTAAGGTATGACATGTCTTAAGGTTTTTGGAAATCAAATTTTGCACAAAGTGTTTGGACCAAAAAAGGACGAGTTAACAGCAGAATTTAGACTGCTACACAATGCCGAATTGCCTGATTTGTATCCAATGAATATAATGAGATGCTAGATTTTTGGCCATCCAAACCTACAATCCATAAAAGGTTAATGTGCGCTGGGCCCACTGGTAAGCGTTCTGAAGTCAGATATGGGCAGTATTTTAAATGAAACATTTTAAAATAAAATACATTTTTTGTATTTTGCATTTTAAGAAGTAAAATATAAAATGGATTATTTGTAACAATTTTCTTTTTAAAATAAAAAAAACTATTGTATTTTGTCTTCACAATACTAAAATACAATACGGACGACGGATGGGAGTATGTAGGCAGCTATTGAACATCAAATTTTTGTTTTCGCTAAGCTTCTATCGTTATTATCACTATATTCATCTCTCCTTATATATTTAAACATAGTATAATAGGCTATTAGCAGATTTGAGATGATGGAGGGCACTGAAAACCCATGCGACGGCCCTGTATACATAATATTTATACATACACTGCTTAATATTTATACTACTACAATACATACACTGCTAATAGTCTATCCATGAAAGATATTTTCTCTACTCCTTGGCCATCTTTTATAAACAATCGTCTCAGTTGTCTCCTCGCATATTTTAAAAAACTTCCTCTCGATCGAAGAATGTGATTATATAACCAGACAGCACGTACACGAGCTCTTGCAGGATAATAATAACCCATTGCACTGTTTCGTAAGCGGAGGCCATATGGTTCACAAATAGATAGTATCCAAGCAAGAACAATCAAAGAAGCTGAAATCAAACAAAATTAAAAACGGCATGACAAACATACTTTGAATAAAAGTCTAGCATCAGTGAAAGAAAATCCTGTAGCTTAATTCTATTTATTTTATACACCAAGCATCCCAAATTAGATGACAGTTTACAATCAATTATATTAAAATTTGATAATTAGTGGAGGAAAAAAATGAATTACTGTTACAGCATTAAATAAAGCTGGGGAAATTTGTTAAAGACTTTTTTTGTTGATAAAATCAAAGCAATCTCAGTTGATATTAAATTTGTTAAAGACTTTTTTTTTTGGATAAAATCAAAGCAATCTCAGTTGATATGGCTGAATATTTACAATCATTATGATTAAGATCTCTAGAAAAATCTAACAGAAATTCTTGACTAAATAAGAAAAAATATACACCCAGAAAAATATCTGATATATACATTCACAGCGCCATCCTTAAAACTTTTGGGTGCAAATTTTATTATTGGGTTGGCAGAGAAGTCCTTACGATTTTTCAGGGTGAAATAAAACTCCATGTATTATAGACATAAAATTTATTTTGATCTACAATATATTGAATTATTTAATGAATTTTTCCCAACTTTCCACTAACTGCATAATGCTATTTTCATAGAATGTCTGGAGTTTATTGTTATAAAAGTGATCCAAGTGGTTTTCATATTCTCTTCCAATAATTAGGCTCAATAATTTATTGCGAGTGACCAATGAGGTGTGGGGCCTAGTGTTGTCTTGGTGGAAAACAACATCCTTCTGATTTGCTAGTTCTGGGTGTTTATTTTTAATTGATTGATCCAACTTTGTTAATTGTGTGTTTGATTTTTATTATTTAAATGAAAAAACTTGGCCAAAGAGCAACTTATATAAAAGTAAATTATTATTGACAATGTTGAGGGGTGTGTCATTCTAGGTTTAAAATCAGTTCAAGTGCTCTAGTAAAAAGCAGTTAAATAAGTGTAACAGAATGATAAGAAATTAAATATTGCACACCTGCAAGAACATTGACACAACTCAAAAAAGCATTATTTTGGAAATATTCTATAAAACGCACAGAAATAATTAGAAACTTCTTTTAAATTTCCGATAAGTATTTTTGGTCAAGCTGTATCATTGTTTATGTCAGGATGTTATGTGTATTTCGTTATGAAGACCAACTCAAAATTTATAAAAATAAAAATATTTCTGAAATTTTACCACTTTGTAGGGCAAACAAAACAAGTATTCTTTTAGTCAAATTTTATTTGTTTTGAGGGAAGAACCCATATAGAGTATATCTGTATTATAATTATTATTACACTTATGATAATACATTTTTATACTGCATTATAAATATTAAAACAATCTTAAGACTAACTTACAAATCATGGTTGGCAAAAAATCAAACAGTTAAAAATAGTGCCAATTATTAACATTGGTATAAAATCTAAAATTGCCATCAACATCAGAAATAAAAACAATAAATACATTTTAAATACTTGTTGGTTGACCATTGTATATTACAGAGTAAAGAGATGGTCCGGGGTCATAAATAGATTGAAATAGAGAAAAACATATTCAAGTTAATTTATTATTAGCCATATTTACACCAAATTAAAAAAAAATTTTTGTCACTTAATGACTACTCATCAAAATGACGACGTTTCGGCTCGTCGAGCCATTTTCAAGTCTAAAAATACCCATCATGTACCTGTCATTTTCACTTATGCGAATTGCAAGCGTCTACTCATAATAAAATTCCTTATTATTGTCATGTTCACCTTGTTTCTGAGTCACCCGCATGTCATCCATCTCATTTCTATTCAGTGACTGATATGATGGTGTAAATATGGCTAATAATAAATTAACTTGAAAATAAATAGTATGCACCGAAGAAGAATTGAGTAATATTGTGAAAAACATATTTTTATTTCAAGCCAACATTTTGACCCAAGTTTGCAGGTATCCCTCAGTGCTAAAACGAACAAGATACAAAAGGATATAAAAGTGTGAAAGTTATATGATATTTAGATGAAAATTATATTAAAATAAAAAAATCGTGATACCTTTGCAAATAGTGCTCTGATTTTGATGAAACTTTCTTCGTTTTTTTAGGAAATTTAAATACCATTGAAACGTCTAATCACAATATCAACAAAAAAGTGTATACTTTTTGAGTTATTCGGAAATCTAATTTTACCACCCCTCGTAACTTTTATTCAAGCATCTTTTCGTTGAAGTATGTACTATAGATAAATTTAAAGGGCATTGAGAAGAAGACTTTAGCCAAGTTTCATTGAAATCGGTACATTTGTTTAGGAGCTACAATCTATAGCAACACAGGTTTTTTGGTTGCCATCTTGAAAGGAAAAGGCAGATAGAAATGTCGATGTAGGAGGATCATCCTTGGGTGACTTCTGACTTTGAATCTAAATTTGAAAAAAATCATTCCAGTAGTTTTGGAGAATGGTGGATGGCAGACGATAAATGAATAACAAAATTTTTATTCGATTTTTGAAATCTACGTATCCTGAAATATAAAGCCTCAAATTTTGAGAAGGATTGAGTTTTTGAATTTTTTGGTCGATTACAATGGTTCATTATTGAAAATAATAAATCAAAATTATATCCACACAGTTTATAATTTTTATCTAGATATCATGTGACTCACATTTTTAATCCTTTTGTATCTTGTTCGTTTTAGCCCTGAAGAAGTTCTGGAAAGTTGAGTCGAAACGTTGGCTTGAAATAAAAATATTTTTTCACTATTTCAGTCCTTTTATGACCTCCACCTCGGACCATCTTTTTCCTTAATAAATACATTTTTTTTTTCTCTTGATATAAATATTAAACCATGTTTAAAAGATAAATTAAAAGATCGAACCAAGTATTCTTTAAGTAATCTTTTTAACTGACCAATTTGTTTGTAACGAGGTAAGTCTGGAGGAGTAGGATCTGGCAGACAAGGAGTCGTGTCAAGATCAAATTTAACACCGCTTGGCTGAAAGGTATTCAAAATGGAAGAATATAAATCCGCAAGCATTCCTTTTCCTTCCACTAATACCTTAACATTTGTAGGAGCTGTAATATAGTGATAAAAATACATTAGTTGTAATCTCATTAGCATTCAACTAATAAAATAGATATTTAGCAATAACTAAATGAGTTGTATGAACAGAGTGCTAAACAAATTAAATATTATCAAGTTCAAATCTATTTTCTCTGGCTATAACTAGTTATGTTGAAAACTGATGAGAAAATAAGTTCACTACACTTGACACAATTCGAATGTCATTTCATGAGACACTAAAAAATTAACATTGTAATAAAAAATAAAAATAAAAAACCATCGGGATCTAGAGTTACCAAATTTTACGAATGGTGTAAACAAGGGTGCTCAGTTGGGGGTTTCATGGCTTGAAACAAATTAACATTTTTATGGGGTGTATATTTTGCCAGGGGTTTCGAGTTTTTGAGAGGGGCTCATTTCGACGGGGTTGAATTTTCGGAATGAAAAGTTTTAACCAGGAGACAAGGGTAGTTCTATATGATCTTCATTTTTTCTAATTCTTCTCTCACTTGCATTGTTTTTAAGAACAGGAGAGCAATAAAACTTTGTGGAAAAGGGAGGGGGGAGATTTATGTTCCATAAACCTGGGGGGAGTTGGAGGACAACCCTGGGCGTAAAAGCCCAAGAGCTAAACAACAAATGAATTAACCCAACCTGAAGATAAGTCAACTAAACTAGTTATGGCCAGAGATCAATGTTAATTCAGAGAAATATTGGTAATGATCACCGATTTAGAGAAAATATTTTTGTAAATGGTGTATAGTACACAATTTTATCTTTTTTTGATCAATGAAAGCAGGCAGAAAGTAACAGAATAAAAATATTCTTAATGAATAATGTTTTAAATAAAATTCCGTAAGTCAAAATTAGTCAAACAGTAAATTTTTCTATTAATTTATAATTAAAATAATAATTAAGACTTATATTTGTCCGTAGCTCCACAAATAAACAGATTAGAATTAAATTAAAATTTAAATCAGATTAATTTAACTATTTCACAAATTAAATTACTTACAAATTCAATTATTTTATGTATTTGCAATAATAATGAATAGATGAAACACATCCATTAAAGAAATTCTTCCGTGAGCTTGAACATAGGCCTTTCCTCAGACAGTATGGGTATAGACTTTATCAAGTAACCATATCTACTGGGAAGCTGAGTTTGCTAACTGGATCCATTTCTCTTTCCAGGCATCTCTGTCACTTTCCGATATCCACTACTGTGGCCCAGCCATCTTCCTAAAGATATCGCACCATCTTTTCATCTATCTTCCTCTATGCCTTTTGTAATAATGGGGTGTCCAAACAGTCACCTCCATTGACCACCTTTTGTCAGTTCTTCTTAATATGTGCCCTGCCCATTCCCATTTTATATTGACATGGTGGATTATATCTTTAAGACCAGTCTTCTCTCTGATGACACAACTCCTAATCTTCTTCTTCTTGTTTATTTTAATCATGCTTCTTTTCACTGATCTTTGCCAGATGATCAGGTTTCTTAATTGGGCTTTAGTTAAGGTCCAACTTAGACTGCTAAAGGAAATTACAAGGAGTTTTCCCAAGATAGGAGGCAGAAAGTAACAGAATAAAAATATTCTTAATGAATAATGTTTTAAATAAAAATCCAAATTCTGTTAATTTGTCAAACAATTTATTTTTCTTTTAATTTATAATTGAAATAATGATTAACAGTCATTTCTCCAAGTAAGCCTTTTACATAATATTGCACCAAAATACTTTTTGTTTTAACTTAGATAGGAGATAAAACTTTAGTTTTGTTTAACTTTAATTTAGGATTATTTTATTTTTGTATACATTTTGTAAATAACCTAATAAAGTTTAAATATTAATAATTTGTTTTGGCAGGAATTGCGAATAGCCTTCCGCTTTTATATCAGGGAACTAGATTATTTACACTCGTGATTATTAAAACAAAACCCTGGCACTGGATATAGACTTTTTGAGGGTGTTTAACTGTCGTTGGGAATTCGGGAATCTAATATCTTTTATGACACCGAGTTACAAGAAACAATAACAATATATATATAATGTGGGACTTAGTAAACACACTTTGAACGAATTGGCTCACCTGGTTTGTTATTCTTCAATCGTGAGGCATATAAGACAACTAAATCAATCAATGACTTTTCACTCCTGTATTCGTTCCGCCTCAATGTCTTAGCCTCAAATCCTCTCGCCTCCGTGTCACAGCCTCAAGTGCCTTCTCCTCTCTCCAGCTATTGCTACCTGCTCTGTCCTTTTTCTAGCATCCTTCTTCATCGATTGTTTATCGATATGAGATTTTTCAATGAATAATTTGTCCACTGTATAATTGAATACAGTTCACAGTGCAACTTCACATTGCTATATATTATATATTCTTTCTCATTCCCTCACACAATGTCACATAAAGGAGTAAAAACAGGGGATGTCTACTGCAGGCTTTGCGGGAATCCAGAATCCTGTGGATCCTTGTTTAAGAAATTTTTTCCCCCAGAACTCACCAGGTTTAAAGACTGATAAAAATTATTTAATAAAAAAATGTTTACTTAGTCCTGAAAGTAGTGTAGAAACAGTTGATATAAATGATAAACATTTCGTTTTAGTTCTTTAAGTAAATAAATAAAAATGTCTTACAGTCTACATTAGTTTGAAACTGTCCATGATTTCGGATCATCTGGAGAACCCACCATAAACTGTAATCGGTAAGCATGTGGATTGAAAGTTTTACTGTTGACAGGCCTAGAAATATGGCTGACTTAGCCAAAGCTCTTTTCTCATTTTTGACTAAACGTATAGATGATACCTGAAAATTATAGAATAAAGTAAATAACAATAGTGAACTCTTTCTTTACAACTAACTCTTTAAATCAGCTGCTATTTTAACAGGTAGCAAGATCTGACTGGCAGATTCCCATTTTTTTAATATAAATGTTATAAATATTATAAAAAATGCTTTTAAAATTTTCATCAAATAATGTCGATTTTTTTTTTCAAGGGCTCTCAGATTAGTATGCTGGCCCTCATTCTTCAGATTTGATGACTTACATAAACATATTTCTTTTTTTCATGGACATTTAAAGGCAGGATGGTCTCCATACCCATACGTGTTCTTTGTATGTCAAGGTGGACAATATTATCAGTAATAAAGTGGTTATCAAACCATTCATTTGTCATGTATTTCCTTTTGTAGTTTAAGACCCTTTAACAAGAATAAAAAAAAGTATTAAAAGCAATAATATATTTTAAATTTTAATTAAGCAACTAATAAATCCATAAATTCCCAAACAAATTATCATTTATCTAAGATAATATATTATAATTTACTCACTGGAACAACATATATAGGAAAAAGAAACTGAATACAAAACTCATCCAATCAAAGAAATAAACAATTTTTTCTGATCTCTGTTTCACTTCCATCATTATGTTAGCAGCTATTTCTTTAACACTTTTGGACTGTTCTGTATGGAATTCAAAATTGTGACTGAATTTTACTGATACATAAAAAATATTTTTCACTTGACTGGAGAATTCAGTTAGCTCTGGAAACATGAGGTAATCATATAATAAAATATAAAGAGTTTTCGAGAAAAACGTATGGTATTGCAAAAATAAAAAAGAAAAAATCATCTGAAGCATCTGGTGTAAAAATGATAAGGTTCCACTTTCCAGATTTTGAGACAGATTAAATCATACCTTTTTCCAGTAATTTCCATTGTTAAAAATCATTCAAAACCCAACAATTATAACCAGATTAAGGATCAGACACACAAAGCTAAATCATAGCTACCTAATAGAAGGAAAACCCCTTCCAATACATACCAGTTGCGGGTAAAAACTGACTGTTAAGCACATATTAATATACTTCGAACAACACCAAGAAACCAGAAAAAAAAAAAAGAAAAAAAGAATCAACAGACAGACTCTAACTAAGCTGATTGGGAATGAAAACAAATTTTAACAACCAAAACATAAAATATTTAAAAGAAATCAGAATTTTTAAAGAATTGTAAATGTCATGAAGGGATGGCGCCTCTAGCCTAGTGCAGAGATACACAGCATCATAATGTTAAAAAATAAATAAATCCAATGAAACAATAAAATGTAAGCAAAATTGTTTATTCACTTCAAATATATAAAAATTAAATTTGGTACTAGTTCACAAGAGTTCCGCATGGTTCACAATCACTTTGGTCACAATTGTTCATGGGGTGCCGAATGGGTTTATCCGAAAAAGAACAAAGGCGACCGATCTCTTGAGTTACTATTAACTTTCCTGCCATTTAAGTACTTCTATAATCTTAACCATGTTCAGTTATATAGCAGGAGCCAACTTACTTCGAAATTTAGGCTACACATCATGAGATATGAATTAAACTTGTACATATATTATAGATCTGTGATAAAAAAAATAGATAAAAACCTTTAATTATTACATCTCTGAATGCTATTTCACGATATTATTGATGATTTCCATTATTCATTATCTCGGAATTATCAGATATTCTTTATCAGTTGTTTCCCCAATACCTTAATTCCTTTCTCGAAAATAAACAGGATTTTTTTTCTTTTTTTTATGAATGACTATAATAATTCCCATTTTTGGACTACCAAGAAAAATAACTGCGAACAACAATAATTACACAGCTAATTCATTCATTAAAAATCATAGCGGTTAAAGAAAAAAATAAATTTCAAGTTAATAGTTAACTAACTGGCAGATCTACGAGTCTCCTTGGGATTGGACATTTTTGGAATAAATATTTATCTATATAACGATTGATAGATACATTTTATTTATTAATATTTTACAATATCCTCACACAATTTTTAATCTGACATTATTTTCATAAAAAGCGTTGTTGATAACTTAATAGTGGATTCTTATATCTAAGAAATCCAAAAATCTACAAAAAAATCGATGAACAATTTTAAATTCGACAGTATATTCATAAAAAGCACCTAGGACTAGAACATAGTCGATTCGTATATCAAAAAATTCAAAAAAGTTCTATAAACTTGATGCTCAATCTCAAATCAGACAGGATATGCTTACAAAGTGCACCTCCCTCCCCTCCTCCTACTAGAAAATATCGGACCCTTAAATTATTAGAAATCCAAAAAGTTATATAAACTAGATAGATGATTGGGCAATTCTAAAAAGGCTTGCTAAAATAAATTATAAATTCAATTATTCCAACTCCTATTGAAAAACTCGAATAACAAATAAAAAGATAATAGATAATTTCAGATTATTTATTATCCAAATGATAAAAAAATCTTTTATACACAGTTATAAAAATAATAGACAACAGCCACTACATGTAAGCACGTTTCAATAAAAATTTTATTTCTAAAAGCATTTTTTTTTAACAGGCCTTGAAAAAAAGACTCATATTATTTTATACATGACGAAATATTATTTTATATATTTTTTTTCTTTTTCATTCAGAGTAATAACTGTTATAATAAAATTAATGATTAACAAATTAGTAAATGCACAATTAGTTAATAAATTGTTAATAAGGAAGTTCCATGAAGAGAATACGTTTTTTTTTTTTTTTTTTTTTTCAAAAATGCATGAAAAGGGATTGTGTGATGGGGCAATAGCCGACGTCATAAAATACGACAACATTCGGTTGTTTTCGGGATTTCATGAAGAAGTGTGATCAAACTGATTGTGAAGCACGCTTAATCCATGTAGAACTCTTGCGAACTAGAACCTTAAATTGTAAAAAGTTCTAAAGTTATATCTACGGAACGAAAATCCAGGATTTTAGCCAGTTTATATTAGAGCCCATAACAAAATAATACAGTAGTTCCCCTTCCAATCAATACTTCATGTATCTTTTATTTCCATTGGCATATAAGGATTAAGGTTTTATGAAAATAAAACTTGCGACATCATAATGACAAAAGTCTATTATTTTACATTAAAACAAGTTATCTAAATTGACCCTCCCTCCCAGAACTCCCTCTTCCACAGATTTCAAGTATAATATCATTGTTCTTGTGCTGTCCAACATGAATTTTAATATAGCTTAATTTTTTGCTGACTGCATTTTCATATATTGTTATTTCATGTCACTAGCCAATATATATTTTTTTTATATCAACAAAAATAATTCTCAATTTAATAATCAGCTGATTAATTTGCAAACAAATTATTCTGAATGAACATATCTGAATTATTATAAAATATTTAATTTTTTTTTTCACTGTTCTAATATAATACAAAAAAGAATCTACAGATAATCTTTAAGCAGCAGGTTACATTTACTAAGGCTCATTGATAAATTTAGTCTATATATATTTGATACCATGGATTTTTTATCAATGCTAGATTTATTTTATTAAACAGTTCTTAAAATCACCTTAAAAATAACAAGAGATGTAGAACTTACTTCATAGCATATTGCAGCTTAATTTACACATACAATACTTACTTTTTTTAACAAAGTTGACAATTTCATCACTAACAAAGTCAAATAACTCACAAATGTAATCAACTGGCTTTACAATATAACAAACACCTTGGACAAAATCTGTAACTTTGCATAATACATCAAAGAACACTGGAACTGTTTCCTGTTAACAAGAATTCAAAGCTATACGGCATAATCAAAATAAGTATTTATCTTAATCTATCAATCTAAAGAAGGTCTTTAATTATCATCTGAATAGATTTTTATGATTTATGAGGAATCATTATTTTTATTCCAAAATTATTCTAAATAACTATGTTTTATTAGGGAAAAATCTACTAGAATTCTTCCTTTTAATATAAATGATATTACATCGTGCATATTACAATGATATAAGATAAATACTTATTTTGATTATGTTTACTTCATGAGTCCACACTTTGTAACCGTTATTATTATTTATTTCTTAGTTCTAGTGATTATCATTATTCTACCTACTTCATTTTACTTTAATGTTCACTTATCTACTTCATTTTACTTAAAGTTTTTTTTTAAACTACATTGTTTATGTTTCTCATATCAATTGTTATCTGGTTCTTTTCTCAGCCTTGATGAAGGACTGAACTTCGGGTCGAAACGTCGGCAAATGTTAAAATAAATATTATTATTTATTTTGGTCAGTTTTATTTTTGACTGATCGCCCCAACTATCCTTCTCTTCATTATTCACTACAGTAAATCATTAACCCAGAATTAATCATCACAGAATCGTCTTTAAATGGTTCTGTTCTCTTAAACTGAGGCTTTTAATTTAATTTTTCCTTTGAATCATCCAGGTATCCATTAGCCTATTGAAAATTTTTCAATGGTTAATTTATCTTCAAGATCACAGTGCAATATCATTTATATTAAATGGATGAATTCTAATAGATTTTCTCCTAATAACATATAGTTATTTAGAATAATTTTGGAATAAAAATAATGATTTCTCATTAATCAGAAAAATCTATTCAGATGAGAATTAAAGACCTTATCTAGATTGATAGGTTAAGATAAATATTTATTGGAGCAATGAAAGGTATTTACAAATTATATACAGAAAAGGACAAAAGATTTTGTCAGTATTTAGGAGTGCATACATTAATTGGTTTAGTTTGATAACATTAGGCTCAAGCAAGTGACGAAAAGTATGATATTCAAAATATTACCCAATTATCCAGATCTCCCATATCCAAAACCCGAATTATTGGGAACAATTTTAGTTTTTCAGTTTTAATTTAGACCTTAAATAATCACATGACTAATGAAAAGTGCAAGATTTACTTCTTTTAGGTAAATTATATTTACATCAAGTCTTTGTCTTTTTGTAACTTTCAAAAATTTAACAATTAAATAAATTACTGTATTTTCTAAATTTTTTCTGATCTAATAATTTTAAAATGTAAATTATATCATTAATTTTGGGTCTAAAATGAATAAAACAACTGAATAAATAGAGTATAGGAAATGATAGTTTTCTTCTTTATACCTATGAATACGCCATATCAATTTAGTTTACAATACAGATTTAATTTTTTAACCTATTAAAATTGAATAATTGTTAAACCATTTGGCATATTGCATTATGAGTAGGCACAATCGAATACTAACTTTTTTTCCGCAAACATAAAAAAATATTATTTATTATCCTAAAAAATATAACTAAAAAATAAATAATTCCACTGCAGCTAATGAGAATCAAAATACTTTTCATTCAACTGCAAATAATTAATTATTTTTATAATTTATGGCTCTAATTATAAATAATAAGAAAAAAATCATGCAATTATTGTTTTACTTAGTTTCCAGGCATTATGACAAGTTAAGAAAAAAATCAATAAATAGAAATTCACTAAAAATAAGTTATGAATTTTACACCAAATAAAAACCACTTTTAAAATGGATTAATTTTAGAAATTGTTGATCCATATACCTCTATTAATCAAGGTGGCAAACCATACAAATGTTTGATGTTTTTCACTTTGAATTTAACCAGATCAGGCTGTTTGATCGTTTATAATTATACTTTCAATAGGTTTAACCAAATTACAACTTATCATTATGGTAATGACAGGTTGGATTTAGTTAGCAATTAGGAAAACCAGTTTTAAAGAAATAGAGGCCAGTCACTAATCATAAGATTCTTACTATACAGCTGTCATAAGCTTGACCAAATGCCTTCTCACATCTCTCAAAAGGTGTACCAAGTTTTTTACCACACATTGAAACAACACTATTCAACCACTCGTAGGCAGATTTAATGACTCCAACTAAAAAAGAAATGAAAAAGTCTCTGTCATTGTGATGAGTTAATGAACAGAAATAAATATCTATATAATAAATATAAATATTGTACAAAATAAATATCAACCAGAACTAAATGAATAAATTTATTTTAAAAAGTTAAGAAAAAAAATTCTAAGAAAATGTTTTTGGCCGTCTGAAACTTGAAGAAATTGTGTTAATTAATAAACTTAGATACATACCTTTAGCATATATCTCGTTTTGAATAACTTTATCTAATTTTTAAATTGAACGATCTTTAATAGAATAATTTTTTTTTTTTTTTAACGCTTCTTGACTTATTTGACTTCCGCCATTAGTCTTCTAGTAGCATTGGGGCTGTTCTAGGCAATAGCTGTGATCGATTGGATCTCTTATATCGATATGCAGGGATCATGTGGTTTATAATAAAAGGATGCCATCAAAAATCACTCCCTCTTCATCAGAATGGTTGGCAACCTTCAGCAGACATCTCTATTTTTTTTTTTTTTACATGATGGGATTATTAGAGCTAGTACCCAATCCCCCATCTGGAGGACCAAGGAGCTATGTTGTTAGACACAGGGGTCACTCACCTTTCTGTAAATCTCAGGGTGGGGACATAATTGTCCCCCGTGGGAATAAAACCCTTATCGTAGTGGCCTACAATTTTTGTAGGCACTTTAACTTGTTAACCACCACGGCCCCCATATCTAATAAAAATGTGCCTGTAATATTAAATAAAAGTTAATTTGAAATAGTTTATTTTGATTGATAGTTCCACTATACGATTCATGAAGTAAAAAAAAATAATAAACAAATTGCATATTGCATTGATTCAGAGAACCTTTCTATTTTTTTCAAAAATTTTATCTTTATTACCAGGTTAGGAGGATTTTAAGGATCAAGAAACTTTCAAGAAATATTTTGTAAGGAAAAAAAAATATTTACCCATGAAATACTGTTTTCTTTTATTTCCAAACACATGATTTGTAAATTAAAGCAATCTAAGAAGTAAATTAAATTAAAGATGCCAAAGACATATGTGCAAAACACACAAAAAATAACATAAGCTGCAGAGCATTGGCACAAAGATATTTCTCTCTTATTTAATTTTGTTAAATTTTAATGAGAGGCAACACCAGCAAAAATTTTGTAACCTTTTTGCTGCTATGATTGACAAGCTTTACCTCTTTCACAGTGCTAAGCAAGATGGCTACCGTCCTACATGCCCATGCTAAGTACTTTTTACTGCTATTCACCCTTTATTACTGGCTCGTACTACTATTTGTTAACCTAATTTTATTGTTTCTATCCTCCTTTTTGATTTGGACTGTAGTCCAACTGGTGAAGTTTTTTAAAAACTTTTTTCATGTTTAAATATTAATTCAATAATTTAATTTTGTATGGTATTCCTCAATGGCTTTTTCAAAACAAAGATCAATTTTTCAATCGTGACATTCTACTTTTGTTTCGCGCCAAAAATTTTTTCTAGAACAAACAGCACATTTTCTGTACGTATATATGTTTCATTTCCATTCTAAACCACTGTTTCTCCATTTTAAAGAAAACATCAAACAAAAAAAAAATGACTATTATTACTAAAAAATAATTAATCCTATACGGCCATGTAACTAACTAAACTAATCCCATTTGATCTAATTTCTAACTAAAATAACCAGACAAAACTAAATAAATTTATATAAACTTATAGCAGTTGAACACATGGTTGTTTTACACAGAACCCAAAAACAAGAAGGGAAATGGTCGAGACAGCCAGAGATAGACTGGAGGAGGTACTTACCCATAACAGTTCATGAATTCTAGAAGAAAATCTCCAAAATAAATCCCCATGTAGGCTCTAGTTAGAAGCTTTATTTCAATAGGAAACTAGTGGAATGTACCAATGTGCCGGCTATACTCGACATCAGCAAATAGAGAGACGGCTATAGCTGACATTAGCAATAGGGGTAAGCTCTTCTATTGGGTATAGTCATCGTAAACTGTTAAAGGGTTAAATTAAATCCTGATAAATCTATCTAATATTTTTTTATTACTATTATAATAGCAAACAGATGCTAGCAAACTCTGCGTCTTGCATCATAGCTCATGGTCTTCCAGGTTTGTGGTTAGTCATAGGGATAATAATCCTATTTCATAAAAAACGTCTAATTATGAAACCAAAAAGAAGCCTCGGAAAATCCGACTGTCTAAATGACTCCAACTTTGAATCACAGACCTTCCTGAAAAATCCTAAGAAATCTCATATTAAGGGTGTACACTGCTATGATAAAGCCAGTTCTGATGCAAGACCTGGATACTAATCAACCAGCATCTTAGAAAGAAGTGTCCTTTGCATAACCGGAGCATCAGAGTACTACCACATGGAAGAGAAAGACCAGTAAAAAACTGCTTACAGAAACTGGTCAATAAATATTTCATTATATGAAGGCAAGGAGGTTAAGATGGGCAGGAATGTAGCTTGGAGCAATCCATCTGAACGTCTGTAAACAACAATGAACAATGAATGACTCAATAGTAGACAAAAGATCATGTGAAAGTCCAAAATTCGGATGGATAGATAGAATCAACAAAGATGCAATAGAGCTTCATGCCGGTAATATGAAAGAAATAGCCTAAAATAGACAGAAATGGAGAAGACTTATTAAGGCAGTAAAAGGTATGTAATTCTATTCCTTGTAAAGGTTATTACAAGATATGTAATGCCAACAGAAAAAACAACAACATTTATCTGGAAAATATAATATACACCTTAATTGGAAGTTGGTAAAAATGGTTTGATAAATTAATGTTGAACAGTTAAAAGGCAAGCTGATCTAGTTCTACTAGTTCAGGAAAAAGAAAATAGCTGCTCTGTAGTTTTCCCAAAAAGGAAAATCGCAAAAAGGGAAGGGGATAAAGGATTTCTGTTTTGGCAAGCAGTTGGTGTTTGTCTGGGGTGATGAGATTAAGGGAGAAGGGGTCCTGGCTTCAGTTAGTAAAATGTAATATCTGTTATATTTTTAACTAATAATAATACCTCGGAAGATCACTTCATACTGTTGGGTTACTTCCTACATAAATAAGAGTTTGTTAAATAATTAACACAATATTGATATATTAAACTAAATTTTATAATTATTTTATCTCAGGTATGGGTTACTGGCAATCAGATCAAAATACTCAGACAGACTAACATTAACAACACTAAAAATCCTCTCTCTTGTGAATCCAAAAAACTAATCCCTCTGCCAAATTAGTGATGGGACCATATAGGCAGAGCTGTGATTCTGTCACAGTGGCTGGGTCGGAGCTGGTGATCACAGTGACAGGCAAATCAAAATCACAGTGACAGTCACTGTTGGCACAGTGAAATTACTGTGCTCCAACAGTGATGGTCACTGTAGACGCTGTAAAATCACAGCTCTGTTCACTCTGCTTCATCACTCCTATTGCTCTAACGATCTGGGCACTGTTGATATAATTTATTTAATAAATAAATTAAAGTAATAATCATGAAATAATTATTTCTATAATAATGGTATTTGTCAATTTTTTTAATTATTAAATAATATACAAGAGGTCATATTTAATGCTCGTCCTACCCCTGTTCTTAACACCACATTCCACGGGTCTAAAAAAAGAATAAAAAAACATTTAGTCATATTATCTATTTTTTATTTTGATATAAGTTTAAATACATAAACTGTGATTTTACAGGGACGTTGTTACCAAAGGGCCGTTGTATACTTATCACTGGAAAAAAAATCACTGTAGTGATGAATCACTGTAATTTGCCACAGTGATTTTACCGGAGCTTTCACTGTCGGAGCTGTGACGGAAAATCTCTGTCACACCCCAACACTAAGCCAAATACCAACTGCTTGCCAAAACAAATATCCTTTTTCTCCTCACCTCTATGGGATTTGCCTTTTTGGGGAAACTACAGAGCAGCACTATTTTCTTTTCTTTGAACTAGTAGCACTAGATTAACTTGCCTTTGAACTGGTCAACATTAATTTCTCAAACCATTTTTACCAATTTCCAATTAAGGTGTACATTATTTGTTCATGAATAAAATAATTATAAGAAACGTCCATATATCACGCATCATAAATAGTTTGCTGAAGCTCCACAAAATATTTTTGTTATTCTTATTTTGAAAAGCCAACCAATTTCGCTAGTTTGTCAAGTATTTTTTAAACAGGAGTAAAGAATATTATATCATTAAATCAACAAACTTTCCTATCAAAAATTTAAAAAAAAAAATTCTTACTGACAGATTTGACAATCCTCTTTAAAGTAGTAATTATTTCTTTAACTTTTTCAACAACAACTTTGATTTTTTCCATTATTTGTTTCATAGAGTCTTTGATTGCATAGAATGGTTTCTTAATCAGATCTATTAGGCTTTTGACTGCTGCCTTTAGCTTCCCCTGTTAATTAAAAAAAAATATATATATATATAATACTACCAATTTCTAAATTATTATTAAACGAACTATCCAAAAAAAAAAAATAGCAGATGAAAAATATTCTTAAACATAGGACCTTTTTCAGTTCAATTATAAATTATATAATAAATATTAGGAAATTTCCACAATATATTACTCATGGCATAACTCAAAATTCACAATTGTAGAGATGCTTTAAAATTTTAAATAGTGAATTAATTTCTGTAGAACTATAATACAAAAGTAAAATATGGCATCACTAGTCTTGAAAGCTCAGAAATCAAACTACTGGCTAAAAGTTCACATTGCTACAATTGCCTAGCGGTATTAACTCAAAATCCATTATTTTTATGTTACTAATTGCAGCAATAAGTTTAAAAACTAGTTCAATTTTGTCAAAAAATATTTATATTTACATGTTCAACATAGTAACCGAAGAATTCCTTAAAGGTTAATATTTGCTGTGCCGACTGGTAAACGGCAGACCGAGGGGTAGAGCAAAGCATAGTTGGGAAGATTGAGTTAAGGCCAATCTGAAGGAATTGGGTTTGGACGGCGACCGGTGGAGGGAGATGTGTAATAAGGGATTGGTGGTGTCGGCATCTAACCTTCGGGTCCGTTAAGCCTTTTATTATTATTATTATTTACTATGAGTTATTGTCATCAGAAATAACAATTGATTCAACACTATACAGCTCAAAATTAACAAAAGTAGATCTGTTAATATGAAAAAACAAAATAACCAAAACTGGCAACTTGGGAGAGTGTTGTTTTCCACCAAAATAACTTGTACAAGTGAGCGGGTGTTATTAGGCTGAATCCGGAGTGGACAAGTGAACGCCCTCCTTAAGGCCCAGATTTCATTGGCCACTCACAGTAAATTATTAAGCTTTAGATGAGACTTTTTGCCCCACCCTCTCTATTTACCAGATCAAATGCCAAGCTCCTACCACTTATTCTCTGCAGCACTCCACGAATCAAAAACAATTTCAAAATGAACAGAATATCAAAAAATACTTAGAACAGTTTTTTAACAATAAACTTGCATTATGCAGTTAGTAGAAAGATGCCAACAGGTCATATTAACTAATAACTAACAAGTTAATACATCGATGATTACGAAGTAATTAGTATAAAGAAGTAATTTAATGTCAGTCCACCTCCCTCATTTTCAACCAACTTTTCTAACAATTCGATCTAAGCTCTACAATATCTTTAACATTATACAATCAATAAACTTTCAGGAGGCAGTACTTTTAAAATTGCATCAATGTAACCTGCCCAATATTAGATTGGCATGATACAGTGAACATTGATATTTAAACCAACAAGGTTTAGAAAATTGGTTTTATACAAAAACAAATTATAAACTTCCATCGAAAATCATATGACAATTTAGGTGCAATGTTAAAACTAAAAATAAACCTCACCTGCCCGCAAGCCATTGTTTCAGAGAGAACCCTCATATTATGTAATGTATTCTTTGCAGGCCCAGTCAATGCTAAAATAAATGCATAAGCTACTAGTGCTTGGCGACCACGTTTACTGAAAAATTGGGGCAACAGCAAAAAAACTATACATCTGAAAAAACAAATTATTAGGAAAACTTTTTTTCCACCAATTCAGGAAAGTTTATGTCAAATAGTTTCATCCATAATGGACATTAATAGAGTAAAATGAATGAATAAACAATATTATGGTATAATAGTGTACTATTTATAATGTAGATATAAATTTTAAAAACTCAACATCTTTAGTCTGCAGAAGCTTAAACAGCATGATTAACAGATTTTACTAAAGGTTAGGGAAAAATTTATATAATAATTGAGCCATTACATACAAAAGTACTATGAGTCATTTTCCTAATAAACAATTAATTAATTACATAGTATAATAACTTTGTGTTTTTAATTATTTTTATTAACTATTTTTTGTTGGAAAGATGTTTTTAAATAGTCATGCTTGAAGCTTACTATTTTTAACTGAGAAGGAGCTGTTGTTCCTTATGAAGAAATATCTATTAATCTATACCTTTCACGGGCTATCTAATTACTTAATTTATTTTATTTTTGTTTGATGTTATAATTGGACTGTGATTAATCGGCAGCCCTAGAGTGAACTCATACAGGACAACGTTTAAACTTATATTTTGTTTTTTTATTTAACTCCCCAATATTACTCACAAAATATTTACAAATTTATTCATAAATAAGATTATGACACCATATTTTGATATGTTATAATATACACCTTTATTGAAAGCGAGTAAAAATGTTTTAATAAATTAATGTTGAACAATTAAAAGGCAAGCTAATTTAGTTCTACTAGTGCAGGGAAAAGGAAATGGCTGCTGTGTAGTTTCCCAAGAAGGAAAATGTCAGAGAGGAGAGGGACAAAGGTTTTTGTTTTGTGACTGCAGTGAAGAGAGGATAGGAGAAGTGATTCTGGCTCCAGTGGGGAAACCCCAGTAATAGTATTACCATCTATGAATAGAAGATAGTGTTACAAATCTGGAAGATGTGTTTGGCAGAACATAAGAAAATATTAGAAGACAAATGAATTTAGTGCAACAAAGGAAGAAGCAATGTATATAGAAAAAAGGTTAGCTTGCCAATACATAATTGACTTTATTTTAAAATAAGTGTTTAATTTTAGTGTAAATAATAATATTTTGTCTGAGTTGATCTGATTGTCAGTAATCCCCAACTGAGATAAATACATATATTAATACTATTATAAGTTTGTTTATTGTAAAACAACCTCTTAATTATTTGGAAGTATCTCAACGGTATAAAGTGGGCTTCCATGAGGTTATATTATTATTTGTAAAATATAAGAGGGATGTTAAAATGTATATATGTATTTGTAATATTGTAATTTGTTCATAAGTCGTAAGGGATATGTTTATTTATTCTAATATTCTAGAAGTAATATTGGAGAGGTAGGGAATGAACACAGTGGAATGTAAAGTGAGAATCCAGGCTGGGGTGTCAGAGGAGTTCTGTACAAGAAAAGGGGTAAGGCAGGGAAGGGAGACTCGTTGGCCTGCCTCCTGTTCAATGTGGCAATTGAAAAGGTTTTCAGAGATATGCGAATACAGCTGGATGGGACCATTTTTAACAAGTCTATACATATCCTGACATACGCAGATGATATTGATACCATCAGAAGATCACTTCACGGCGTAAAGGAGGCTTTTCTGGCTCTCAAACAGTCGGCCCAGAAGATGGGACTCTATAAATGAGAGCAAAACCAAGTATATAGTTGCTGGCATAAATGCACAACATCCAAAAATTTCGATAGGTGACTACACAATCGAAACGGTCCAACGATTTGTTTATTTGGGTTCCCAAGTAAATGCCAACAATGATGTATCAAAGATAATAAGTAAGAAGATCCTGGCAGCAAATAAATGTTATTTTGGTCTGCGGTGGTATCTAAGCAATCCCTTAATCTCCAGAAAAACAAAAGCGACTCTGTACAAGACGCTGAGTTCGTCCTGTCCTCACATATGGAGCACAAACATGGAGCTTTTCCAAAACAGATGGAAACAGGCTATTGGTCTTTGAAAGAAAAGTACTATGTCACATTTATGGACCAATACGCTCAGGTAACAATCGGAGAATGCGGAGTAACGCAAAACTCTCTGCCATACATAATGATATGGATATAGTCCGGTTCATTAGAATACAGCTTTTGAAATGAGCGGTTCATGTAGCTAGAATGGATGAGAATACAACTAAAAAAATTATGCTGACGCCTCCTGAAAGAAAAAGAAGAGTTGGAAGACCTATATTGTGCTGGATGGATGGGCTCTTCTTGGACTAGCTAACTGGAGGAGAGCAGCAAGAGAGAGAGAGAGCAGTGGATGAAACTGATTGAGGAGGCCAAGACTCAGCGATGAGTTGTAGCGCCCATGAAGAAGAAGAAGGGAATAAACAAAATGTGACTTTTCACTTTGGGCCATATAAGTTTGCCCTCGGGTTGCTAACTAACTGCAATCAAACTATAAATGAAACCATAATTATAGGTCGACATTACTTGAAAGATACATTTTTAGGAGTTCAACAATAACGGATACAAAACATGTAAAATGTATAACAAATTATACAACTCCTATATAAAATATTATGATTTTACATATTAAAAAAGGAGTAGATTGCAAAAGACCAACGTTATAACTAAAGTTACCTTAAGTTATAATATTTTACCAAAATTTCTAAACGGAATAATCAAATTAAATCAGATGAACAATGTCAAAATCAGTTCATACTTACCTAATTTTATAAGAATAAGCCAAACCCAGGCTTAAAATCAAACCAAAAATTGAGCACATTGTAGTAGCAGATCCTAATGGAAAATTTAACTGGAGTATAAAGAAGATGAAAAATAGATACGTCAATAAAACTCCACCTGTACAAATCAATCGTTTATTATTTATTTATATATTTGTCTTTGAGTATTCACTGTAGCTGATCTCCATTCAATACATTACACAGATATATACCAGATAAAATTATAATCAAAGTAAAGAACAAGGTAATAACAGAAGGAAACAAATAATTATTTAAAAATAAAAATAAATTTTTATTTAATTTAAATAGAAAAATGAAATAAATAATAAATAAATGTAGAATATTATATGAGCCTTTCAGTTGACATAATGATTAAGTCCAATTTAAACATTTTTGATTATTAATTTTAGTGATATTTCTAGTGAGAAGATCTATACCTTTATTCACAGTTATATATTTCAACACAACAATCACTTACTCTAGAAAAAACTTACTCACTCTCTGTGCAGATATTATAAATTTTCCAATTAGAAACATCACTATGACTCTACAAAAAAATTGGTATTGTCATTCTATCAACTGAAATGCTCATATATTATTAATATACACACTTACTATTTACATTATACATTAATAATATAGGAGAAGGAGAGGGCTTTTGGGCTGAAGCCCCTCTCACCCCAAAATGATAAAATGTAACCTAATTCTATGGAAAAAAAATTATCTCTTTAAGTATTATTGTTCATGTAATTATATTTAATAAGACTTCAAGAATCACTTAAACACCATTTCATATAGCTAGTTTGTATCTTTTTTTTTTCTTTTCAAAAGTAATTATATATACGTATATATGGGGCTAAGGCGCTTATAATAGGTAATCAAAGTTAAGCAATGTCGAACATGATTAGTACTTGGAGCCCTGAGTTAGTAGTTAGTAGCTCCCCTGAGATCCGGTCCATGGACAGTCTGTTTTGGGTATAGGTTCTCGTGTGCCTGCTGACTCTGAGCAGCTATAATCTATAGATCTAGACCGATTTGTCACTGTCCTTGAATACAAGTGAGCGGGTGGGAAGGACACTGCCACATTGGCCCCAAAGGGATGGGCTATGGAGCTACGGGTGGCCTGTAGCTGCACAATGGAAACCATTGTTCATAGCAATGTGAGGTTGGGTGACCCCCTCCAGGCTATCTGTGCTCCCACATGCAACACATATCTGTAAGGAGACCACATCTTGCGGTCAAAGATCTTCATGGTCTGTAGCTCCAATCGAAAAAAAAAAAAAATATGTATTTATGTATATTTTTAATAGTCAAATTTTTAGTAGTCAAAAGTATATTATTATATATTATATTAATAATATGTATATACTATATTAATAATAAGTATATACTATATTAATCAGCTACTATCAAACACTTCTCAAAACATGAAATGATTATATCCTGCTGTTGCCCTCCTCAAAGTCCAATTCGTATTGAAAAATCTAATGTTATAATTTTTTATTGATTGCATGGTGTGTTTAAGACAGCCCATTCCTTCTACTCATTGGAGGCCTGCACTTCTCACGGTGAGAGCTTCTTTATGATGGTTTCATGATCTCATGACATTGAAAGATACTCATACTAGTTTTAGTTCATAAAGACCTACTTTACAAATGTTGCTCCATTTTTAAACTGGGCACAGAATTTCTTGATCACACTATTATGAGAATTCTGAGAATGGCCAAATGTGTATGAAAGTAGAGAGAGAGGTGAATAAACCGTATTGTAAGGCCTCAACTTTAACTGAAAAGGACCTTTGGGGAGTTCATTTACTTGGCTTTTGAATGAGTAGAAATAAAAAATAAAGATGCAATTAAAGCTAATGAAGATCTTAAAATTTAATGAAATGAAACTTTTTTTATTATTCTGGGACTGTTGTCCATTTTGAACAAATTATGAGTACAGGGTAAATGCCAGTGTGGCCTTAAATAAATTAAGTACTTACAAAATAATAGTTGATTAAAAATAAAAATATAGATAGAGAGAAAAAAAAAAGCAGACATATCTATATAAAATGAACATCGGAAACTAGAATAACATAAGTAAACCAGAATAGTCTCTAGGGGTACATAAAGAGTTCTCTTGGGTACATTTCATGAACAGTCTGATTAGGAAAGGGGTAGGTGTTCAAAGAAAAGAGGTTTGAAAGAGGAAACTGATTGAACATGTCTAATATCAGGAGGGATAGGATTCTAGAGGGAGACAGCTTGGATTACTAAGGATTTGTCAAACGAAGAAGTTTGGTGAGGAAGAGAATAGAGGTCGGAAATACAGGATTTAGTGGGACAGGATCGAACGGAGTATTTAAATTGCAGGCTGTAAAAAATATAGGAGGGTTGCTGAGTTCTGATGACCTGGTATAAAAGTACATATGGCGGTTGGATGGATAGAGGAACTTCAACTCAGAAGAAACAGTAATTCTCAATTTGGTACTGGTTCACAAGATCACATTGTAGATGGAATTCCAAAAGTAGCAGTGTTGATAACTATCAATCTAGACTCAACTGTCACTAGATGTGATACTTGTGAATTAGTATCAAAATTTTAAAGTTTCATAAAAGATATTTTGTATTAAAATTGAAAATTGTATGTATGGCTATATAAACCAGATTTTCTTAGTTACTTACTGAGAAATCCAATTATACTTTTCAAAATATAATTTTCATAGGTCCCCTGAGTGAAAAGTGATATCCTGAACTTCTCATACTTACTATAACTAGTTTTTACCTTGGAGGGATCACTAAAGCAACATGGACATTTTCTGAGAACAGTAAAATTGTTAATTAAACAATCGCTGAAAAAACGGATTGCCAATCTTCATCAGTAGTCTATGAAAAAGACAAATTTACTTTTTCCACCAATTGCAGCACTTGCTACACCAGTTATGCTTTCTTTCTTCTTCTTTAATGGAATACTTCCTTGTTTCGATATAGTTTTTCAGTTTACTCTTCAGCATTTGAGCTTTGAGTAATCTCAAAAAAAAGATCATTGTTGGATAGTTTAATAACTATTATTACAATATCTTAACCTCTCTTCATATGTAACTATAGAAGAAATAAATTAGCACTGTACTAAGAAACGTGGTCAGCTGTCCTGATTCAAGTAAAATGGAGTTGGATCCATTCTTCAAGAAAAATAAAATAAACTTTCTAGCTTTAATTTGTTATATCCGTATTTGAAAATTTCCCAAGAAACATAATATCCATCCCTGGATCTTACAGTTCCATTTAAATAATATTGGCTCCTTCTTGCCACTCCACCCCCTCAAATTGTGTGAATATTTTTTTTTCGATAAAACATGGTTATAATTTATCATTATGAGGGGTTTTCGGGGTGAAGCCTCTCTCTCCCCCTCCACAAAATGGTATATTAAAACCATGTTTTATCGAAAAAAATATCTCTTTAAGTATTATTGCTCCTGCAATTACATTTTATAGAACTTCAAGAACCACTTAAACACCATTTCATATAGTTAGTTAGTTTCTTTATTTTTAATAAGTAATTATCATTACATATATGAAAAAAAAGCTTTAATCCTGAATCCGCTAGTATTGAAGGACATACCGAAGCGAGAAGTGAAGGACGTCTTATAAGGTTGGGATTGGACGGCCGTGGTGTGTGGAAGTGTGGTCAAAGCAATTAGTAGTATCGGGATTGAACATTCCGGTTCACTTAAGTTTTAATATTTTGTAACTAATAAGAATAAATCGCCTTCACGGCAATTGCTTAGAGAGTAACAGGTAAAATACAGCGTTTTTGATTCAGAGAGGCTGGCTATTATGCCAATTTTGTGAGACTTCTTGAAGACAGATCATTTGAGGATGCGTTACGTCCAGTTATAATTTATAACCCCACCACAGGTATAGTTCCTTGTTTAGTAAATCTAAATTCGCCTTTAGATCGTTCGGTAACGAGGGTTGTGTCTAATCTAGTGGTAGGGTCTTTAGTAGCAATCTGTTTAATTTAAACAGTTTCTTTCATTAAACAGATACAGTAAACTGTTTCACCCCAGATCTCTAGCGGATTCAGGATTTAATTTTGGGCTGAGGCGCCTCCCCCCGACCGAAAGATTTTTTTTTTCATATATATATATATATATATATATATATATATATATATATATATAATTAATCTCATTTCTATTCAGTGACTTGGATGACATGTGGGTGACTCAGAAACTAGGTGAACATGACAATAATAAGGAATTTTATTATGAGTAGACGCTTGCAATTCGCATAAGGGAAAAGGACAGGTACATGATGGGTATTTTTGACTTGAAAATGGCTCGACGAGCCGAAACGTCGTTATTGTGATGAGTAGTCATTAAGTGACAATTTTTTTTAAAAATTGGTGTAAATATGGCTAATAATAAATTAACTTGAAAAGAAAGAAATTAACTACCTGTATGAAATGGTGTTTAAATGGTTCTTGACGTCCTATTAAATGTAATTAAACGAACAAGAATACTTTAAGAGATAGTTTTTAATATTTTTTTCTGTTAAAAAAATATTAAATATTCTCATCGATATCATCAATAATATTCTCATCGATATCATCAAAAATATTCTCATCGATGTCATCGAATAGATCTCCAAACTTAGCAAAACGAAGCCATCGATGAACTCCGCGGTGAGTTTAGGAACTAACCCCCTAACTTATAGGTTTAGTAGGTGGTGACAGCGATAACTCATAGAAAACACGGAATCTGTTTAATTTAAACAGCTTTCAGTAACAGATACAGAAGCTGTTTAATTTGAATAGATACAGAAACCTGTTTCATTAAACAGCTTCTTGCAACAGATATGTAAACAGTTTCTGAAACAGATACAGAAAGTCATTTAACTTAAACAGCTTCCTGCACCATATACAGAAACAGATGGATATCGAACCCCTATGCCCTAGCTGCGGTGTTCCGGAGACTGCTGAGCAAATTATAGTGGACTGCACCGCCTTTGAAGAACTAAGGGCTAAGTTACTGAGGGAAACCGGTCTCTACATTCTCACAGAAAACGATTTTCCTCAGTTAGTCACTGCGGAAAACTATCCGTACTACAAAGATTTTGTGTACGAGTGGAAAGCCGCGTTGGGGCCAGCCCATTTCAATTTAAGGAGAGGAGGAAGAGGTACTATACCATTGGCTTGAAAAGCAACCATGAATCAAGAGAAAAAAATGAAGAAAGAGCAGAATAAGATTTACTTGCAGCAGTGAGATGTTAAGCTGACCTGCCTAACATCTTACTATTGCAGACACCCGTATTGCCTACTAGGGTTTTAAATAAATAAATAAAGATACAGAAACAGATACCTACGGTCCTCTGAAACAGATACTATCCTCGACAACAGCTCTACTGTACTTCAGACTATTTTGAAAGATTTTTCAATGAAACACCAGCCATCGGACTGTTGCAACAGCTATGAAGTTTCTATTCAATGAACAGTTTATCAACTAATAACTATTTGCTCGTTATTTTCGTCAATAAATTTACTGATTATCTTTAAAATATGTTATGATACGGGAATAAATTAATAATTACTTTGGAGATAAAAATTATATTGATATTTATTGAAAATAGTGTAAAAGTAACAGAAGTCAATATGTCTATTTTTTTACTCGCCGTTTTGAAACAGTTATATCTGTTTTTTTAAAGTAGCAGAAACTGTTACAACTGCTACTCATATTAAACAGTTTGGCCCATGACTAGCCTATTTCCTCACCGATGATATATCGTGATAATTATGTTACAGTAGGAAGACAGAGTCGAGAGAAGATCGTGATACGGGAAGCTGTGCTCGCCTGAATCTGTTTCTCTCCCTTCAAATAATTAGTTATCATATTTATTTGTTTTGCATACGGATGCGATTGATTTTATTTCTTTCTTAGTTGTGGCTGTCTCTTATTATTGTTATAATTATTGTTTATAGAGTTTATTTAAGTATTAAATACAATTAGGTCTTCGAAGGTGTGCTTTCATATCCTGAAACCTCCATACAACGTTATCAGAAAGTTTGATGTCGGAACTGTGAAAATCTAAATCTTTTGAACCAATGGTCTTTCAGTTCTAGTTTTTATCTAAATGATTAATGCATGCTGAATAATCAAAATAGTTAAAATTAAGAATATATATAAACCTAATTTTTAACAACGTCATAACCTAATGTTAGCATCATTAGCGATTAATACAAAGTCAATAGTGCGTTATAACCAAGCTGTTTATCGCCTAAGACAATTCGTAACCTAACCTACAAAGTGAAGGGTTGTTAGTAGGGGTGTTCGATCAAAAAGTAAAAATAAATAAATTATATTTAATTATTTTTACTTTGTTGCTTTTTGACAGAAGAACAAGGCCCAACTTCTCTTCAATATATCTTCGTCAGTCAATTATTAAATCACTATTATTAATACATTAATCACTATTAGTATTCTGTAATAATATTGTATCTTTTTAAGGAAACTAGTACAGATTTTAAGTATTTTTTTCAGATAATAACAGGAGAAGAGTAGTTTTAATAGTTACCTAACTATAATAATGGTCCTAATGAGAATAAGAACTTACTATTATTATAGCACATTTAATTTTACATCGGTACAAAAATACCCGTTTCGAGTAAATTATAAAAATGTAAAAAGTCGATGATATAAAGAGGCATTCCGGTCAGTCGATTGTAGCTAAAAAGTTGCTGTAATATGCCAAGCCTTTCTTAAATTTTTAACATCATTTTCGTGGGTGTTATTCTTTTTAAGCTGTTTTTTACTAATGCAAAAGCTAGATTTTCGTTTTGCGAGATTTATTTATTTAGATTCGGGAATTTAGAAAAACGAATATGTATTGCAAAATTTGGTTTGAAATTTTCAAGATCTCTCTTTTATATGGTTCAACATACAGGCAAGTGAGAGTAAAAATTACAATCACTTCTAGTTTGTCCTTCCTTTTAATCAAAAATATAATTTTATTTTTAAGTCATAGACAATTAGATTACCAGTATTTACAAAAATATGTTTAGTCGTTTCCGAATACCACATGTTAGTACTCGGAAGACCTTGAAAAACAAATGTATAATGAAAACCCGAACATACAGAATTGTTCACATTATAACTTAACTGCCTACAGATGTGAAGAGAAAATCTTTTATTACTTATCTTTCCAGATTTACATTTGTTGAACGAGGAACTTCTCAGAATAGTGACTCTTTTTGGAAAAACAAGAACAGATACTATTTACGGCTCTTTACGGTAAAGCAATCGACTTACATCTATTTAAAGAAGTTTGCCGTTTTAGGTTCAAAATAATTTTATTTTAAAATCCGTTTCAATCCTTTATTTAATTTCTTTTATTAAAGCCACAATAAGAACACATTAATGTAGTTTATAAATGCTCTAATTAATCTATGTAAGAATGCGGTGTCCCTTTTTCCAGTATGCATCTCTGTTGTTTTAGAAAACAATTCGTTCGCAAAAAAAAACATTCATATTTACAAACCTATATATATAAAGAAAAAAAAACTAAGGTGTGTGCTCGAGACATGATAGAAGTGAAAACATCAACAAGCCGAGATTAATAATATTATTTATGAATTGTAAATAATTATTATTCGGTTTTCGACACTATTTTTTTTTTTTTTTTTTTTGTCTCCTTAAAACGGCTTCTTGTTACAGTTTTGAATAATAGATCATTTCAGAGGATGAAATGATTAACATTCCCCTCGCTAACAATATGCGGATCCTATTTTTAGTTTTTGAGATATTTTAATCCGTATGCTAAAACACTTCACTTAGTCGACTCCAGGCGACATTACCCGAGCGTTACACATCGGAGATCTGATGGCTCAATCTAATTCACACTCCACAAAAAAAGTGCGAAACGCGCCTAAAGAAGTTTACACTTCAATAATATCTCAATTTCTTCTTCATTTTGACACTGAGGCCTTTCTGTGCCTATAAACGTACCATTGTCTAACATTTAAAATTTCGGCCAAACTTTAGCAGTATTA